GAACATAAAGGGTATGGATTTAGAATATAGGTTGAGTAGATCGGAGATAAAGGCTGGTGCCAATCCTTGCAAAGCTTTACAAACAAATATAATAACTTAAAATTAATAAATCATGTGACGTTTAAAATTAAGGTAACCACTAACAAGGATAGTAACTAAAAGAAGGTTAACATTTGGGTTAGGTCAGCTGATTCTACCTTGTAATAGCCAGTCTTCTCACTGATGGTCTTGTGTGTTTATGTAGGTCATATAGAGGCATCATTCAGCTACTCCTTGTAGTTGGTTTAAGCATGCAGATGTTGAAAGATAAAATTCTGCAAGGAATTCAAAAGGTTTTGGATTCAATAAAATGCAATCAAACCCTAAGCCTGGTTGTCATATTGTCAGGGGTGGTCAATATGTGCTCTCAAAGATCAGCCTTGTAATATTAATAACTTTTTGTTATATTGACACTCATACTTTTGGTTTTAATCATTATATTCATCTTCACAGCCACTGTTGTATTTGAGTGTTGAAAATGTCACAACCTTTATTGTTTTATCATCGAGCTGGCAATAAAGGTCACCATACCCATGTGAGCTCTACACTCCATTTAATGGAGTATTGCTGAAAAGTTCATTTGAGGGCTCATCTGTGGAGGATTTTTCTCTTTCATGGCAGAAAATGAGGAAGTTTCAGCTTGTCAGAGTTTGAGAAATGTGTCTGAGCACCTTGGATGATCAGTTTTTGCACTCTCAGGCACAGAGAAATATTTGTAATAACGCCCGCAAATTTATATCGAGCACACTCAACCCCTGTGTCAACCACAGTACCTTCAGTATGCCCTGAGAAGTTACACTCTGCATAAAGTCGATATGAGTCGCTTGGAGTTCGGTGAATCCTCTTCTCTCTAAACAGTAATTTACTTTCGCTATGAACAAGAGTCTTTATTATTGATGTTCCAGCTTATTGTTATGGGCCGCTCATGGGTGCTTAGGCTGGAATCCAAAGCCTTATTGTTGTCTTTGTATAATGTCTTTGTAACTGCCATAAGCCTCATTAACATCTGTTTAGTTTCTTAGACGTGTACTTTAGAGAAAAACACGATAATATACTCTTTTCTCTGTAGAGATTAGATACCATTTAATTGGACCATAAACCTATATCATATGTAATATTTCACTTTTATAGAAGGTGCAGCATACTATCGGCTAGTTACTGCAATAACACTTACACCTGCAGTTGGCCCCCTGGCGGCAGCAGACACAAACTGTTAAAACAGCACTGTGAGATTAGGATCTTTGAAGCTGATGTGGTGAACTTGTTAGCAAACAACCTGGCAGTCTAATAGTCACTCTCCTCCCGCTCTGTTTTGGTCTCCACCATCTCCTGAGAACAATTGTCTGGCGCTTTAGCTCTAAATGCTCCACTATGATTGTGTTAATTTATCACTAATTGTGTCTGTCTGCTGTTTGGTGCTGAGCAGGTATTGTACAGTGGGTTTTTGCTAAAAAACAGTAGCTGCCGAAGCAGAAACAATGCTACAAGAGCAGTAAAAGGGAATCAACACAGTAAAGCGGCATGCCAGAAAACCAAAACAATGAGCTAAAAAGAGATCATTTTCTGTGGGCTTGTCACTATGAGGAACAGCATTCACATTACACAGTAATTAATCTAATCTAATCTAAATATTGGTATCACAATATATATATATATATATATATATATATATATATATATATATATAGCTTATAGCTGCTTTAAGCAATGTCTGCATTGCTAAAGTTGCTAAACCCTACCAACTGAGGTCCTGCAGTGACTTTGCCATATAGTGCCAAGTGTGATATTGAAGGCCTGCTACCAACAATGGCTAATTCATTATTTTTCTGGGAATGTTATTATATTACAGTTTTCAATTCTCTGACTACTTGTCTCACAGACAGTAGTTAAATAAGGCACTTTGCAGTCACTGCTGAGGTGTTGACATGTCTCAAAATAATAGAATGCATCCACACTCAACCTCAGCTTGACATTTGGATGTATACCTGGTGAACAGTCCCTGAGGAAATGGAAAAAATAAATAATAAAAATGAAATCTAATCTTTGGGTTCAGGTTCTTGTCATGCAGTGAGCCCCGTCTGTTTCCTTATTAGCTAATGCGACCATCCTGCTGCTGGCTTTATATGAACACAGCATGGCAACTACACCAGTCAAACGCGCTTCTCAGCATAGATACACTTGAATATGAAGCCGTGTGTGAAATAAACCTTAACTGATTATGTTTAGCTCACCTATGAACCAATGCAGCTTCTCAAACGGTGTCTACAGCAAAACTTTTAAAATAACCATTAATAATATGATTGCTACTAAGTTTTGTGAACTCTGGGCTCCAAGTTTAACCACAATAATGGTCCCTTCTTTGTAGCTTTTAATCTTTGCTATGGTGCTTTTAGTAGCAGGTATCCATAAATCTCATCTTTACACAACTTGAGTCAGGCAAGGTGGAAAATAAGTTTGATAAGATGTGCGATAAGTTCTGTGTTTTTATAAGATGGATGGCAGTAACCAAGCCCTACCAGTTATTCAGGAAGTCAAGTCATGTTCTTGCCGATGTGTGCTGGGGAGGCATCGTCAAGCTGCCAGCAGGCATAACGCACTTGTGAGGAGAAAAGGGAAAAAAAACAACATAAAGGCTTAGCCACTGTTGGGTTGGACAGCCTGAAGGAATGGTCCAAAATTAACTCCACCTTGGACAACACCTTCCAAGATGATGCGGAGCACTCATAGCCTCTGGTTCATCCCTCGAGGTGTACCAGGAAGCACTTAAAGCTCTCGTTTGTGCCATTGAGTTGCACAATATTTCTTGCCAGCCAACAGCCTCAGTAAAATGAAAGGGGGTGATAGCTTTTTCTTTGGACTGATTTTCTTTTTGTTTATGCCTGCCTAGCTAGAACAGATTGTATGAGAGCATGCTTACAGGTTTTATCTATTTCTGTGCTTATCTTTGTAAAAGCACAGGTACATAATTCAATAATATGTAGCTCGCACTTTTGTTTTTCCTCTTTAAATGAGATAAGCAGTGATAGCTGCTTGTATTTCCATGTCTGTATTTCCTCTGTGATATTGTATTTATTTATTTGCATCGTTAATATTAAAAGTTATACTCTTTCTTCCTTGCTGATTGACCTTACTTGTTTAATGGACTCCAAAGATGTCCACTGTCAACATTTATCCTTGGTCTTAGATAGGATTTCAACAAAACTAGTACAGAAAAATGCTTCTCCACCAGTGGAAATCCTCATTCTACCAATTTAAATGTCTTAATTTGGAATATTTGCCTGTGCCTATAATTAATTTATATCAGTTGGTGCATGGCTTACTGTAACAAGCATTTGCCAAAGTCATCAGCGTTAGATCATCTTCTGTCCCAGTTTGAGAGATCACTGATATTGACTTGCCATTTTTATTTTGGTAATAGCCTCAGTCATTCACCAATCTGTGCTCCTATACCATAATCTACATGCATATTTTACAGCATTAAAGTGTTCCCTACCTGACTGAAAAAAGGTCTTTCATTTTATGGTCACGGCCCCCTGGTGCAACAGCATACATCCATACGCTTTTGTGTGTCTGATCTTTGTAGCAACAGTCTGGTGGTGCGTTATTTCTTGCTTCAACATGGCAATGCAACCTGTACAGAGAGCAAGGCCCACGAAGAAAGTATTTTGGTATGGAAGAGCTTGTCTGATCTGCACAGACAGCCCAGCATCCCTTGGAATTACATTAATACTGGATAATTCTGCAGCTCACCATTAATGTCCAGAGCCAACGTTCAGTGCCAATGCAGGAAGCACTTTGTCAGACATGGACAGTGTGGAGGTTGAGGTGGTGGACACCTACATCTATCTATCCATCTATCCATCTATCTATCTATTGTTGTATATTAAGTAGTGATGATGTGAAGATGTGTTGAAGAGAAGTCCGCTGACACCGTCTGGATTGTATCTAAAGGTTTATTACAAAAAGATACAGCATCATTTCAAGCCCCGGGAGCTTGGAGAGCATCCTGCCAAATGAACAGCTTTGTCTATTTTGCATTGAACATAGGTTTTTATAGGTATGTTGTTTACTCCAAAAGATAGAAAAGAAACATCTGGTTCTAATACAGATATGTGAGCTAAAAACAGGGAGATGGGGGTTTTCAAGGTGGAGGTCAGAGTAAGAACTACTAACATTACATATGTTGACAAAATATCATTTGAACTTATAACAAAATGTAATTTAAATGTATAAGCCTTCAGATACCACACTATCTATCTATCTATAACAGTAAAAGGGACATTTTGCCCTTAGTAGGTAGTTACCGCAGCAATATACAAATTTACCTCACATGACACAATTTACTTACAATTTAGTTACTTTGATGACAGAAATAGAATTACACCCCATTTTACACCCATTGTCAATCAAGTGTATCTCTGAGTTTTTACATTAGCAGTACAATTTTTTCCACCATAGTTGCCTCTTGTAATAAATTCCTCTGCTTTGTATCAGAGCTGAACACATGAGTGTCATTTTCATGATGAAATGCAAAAATATGGCCTGTTTTTGTGACCGATCACCAGCCTCGGTCAGAGGTCTATTATCATGTCAGCCACAGCTTCTCCGGTGGGGGTTTCAGACAGCTTTACATGCACCCCTCTGTCACTTTGAATGTCTCTCTCTCGCTCTTTCTCTCCCTCCGTCTCTCCGTCTCTCCCGGGCTTCCAGCACACAGGCACTCGGCGATGATGGGTTTCTCAGATGGAATTAAAATGTCTCGTCCCACAGCTGTCACCCATGCAAATTGCATTGTCTACAGATTCTATCACTGAGAACAGCCAGCAGTCTGTTTTGTTTGACTCCTTCTTCCTTTTCATTTTTTGTCATGAAGTCATTATCTGTGGCACTGCTGCTTCTCTCGTTAATGTTTCAGACAGTCATCTTTTAATCTGCCTCTCTCTGTCTTTATTTTGCTGCAGGTTTACCGCCACTCCTACATGGCCTCCTACAGTATCTACAATATTCACACACGGTAAGTGTTTTTGTTCTCCTCAGCCTTTGCTCCGAGGCAACCTGTGTGGTAAAAAATACTTTTCATCAGGAAAAACACAACTGTGAGCCACGCTGGTTGGCAAAATATTACAACACAGATACTATCAGTAAAGTGCAATGAAAGTATTCTTATTACCTATTTACATGTTGCAACTTGCATAAGGAAAAGTTGGGTGTTTCTCAATTTACCCAGGGGCCCCCGGATTGGCTAGAACATATTGTATTGAACATATTGTGGATGAATTTGTGCCATTTGGGAGTGTCCCATATCTGTTGATGTTCTGGGCAGAGGTTTCCAAAGTCTGACAACCCCACTGCACTCCTCCCCACCCCCAATGTACATTTTAGTAAACTGGCACCACTGAACATATGCTGATTCAAGTAAAACAGATAAATACCCTCAGAAAGTGTAAGTGACACCGACAAAAAAATATGTGTATCATGTCTGTATGTTCAGGTTTGACCAAGTTATGACTCTCACTGTTCAACCTGAGTACAGCTTTGCAGACAGATAAACTCCTCGACGAGTGACAGGTGTATTGTCTTCCTAATTGAGACGTTTCCTTCAAAATGTGTGTGATTTCTGTCCCTGTCTGCCGTAACTGAACATGTGAGACTTATTTCCTGGCTGACCTAAGGTACTCCTATTGACTACTGTAACACTTTTAATGCCAGTAACTAGCCTGGGATACAGACAAATCTGCCAAGCTCATTTGATCTGGGAGATACGTCTGGCCACATTCAAACGGAATTCCAACAGCCTTTGATCCGGTTGGGCCAATCACAACCATTTATTTAATATGGAGTGGGTTTTATGTAATGATTGACAGAGGCCTGTCTGATTTAAGAAGTCACGTTTTACTGCTCTGATAGATCTGTCCAATTGTGTCCAGTCTGCAGGTCCATCTAGAGAAACCACAGGCTCACAAAACTCAAATCAAACAAGGCAATGATTCAGAACTAAGATTCTGTTACTGCATTGCTTATTTCTCGTCTCAAATGTTTTCAAAAACACAGTTTAGTGCACTGTTTAGCTTTAATTTTGAGAGAGTATGTGACCAGGCAGCCATTTTTTTTCCAGCTTCCAGCATCCAATTGTGTCCAGAGCCTTTTCGGTCTGCACCCTTTGATAAAGCCCTTTGAAAATGAACTGCATTTGTGAATCAGTGTGGTGATGCCAGTCTATTAATAACCTCCGTGAGCTGTGTGTCACAGCAGCTGCTGCTCCACCTGCTGACTGTCGGCAGCCAAAACTACAATAACAAACTTTTAGTTGCTTTTAGAACACCAGCATGCTCCTGTAACTTTCACCTCATGCAGTATCTTTGATTCATGTCGCTCCCTCCTGCTCGCGCGGAGAAACGAGCCTCACAGTTTTAAAACCTTTGCTGTAGGAAAATCATTTTAAAATCAAATCCATTGAAATTTAGATATTTGTTTATCTAAAAACTGAAAGTCGAACTTTAATAGCTCTCAAAATGTACCTCTAGTGGTATTTCAGACCAGCACATATCGAATGTCTGACACTTCTACATAGAAGCAATATAAAACCAAGAACTCTTAAAACACAGTAAAATGAATCTTGTTGAACAGAGTTGTGCTTTTCTCAAGACTTACTCTCTCTATTGCATTTATATTCTACAGACTAGCTTGACTGTGTGACTGCAGAGTTCTGGATTATAACACAGATGAACTGAAAACATCGCCACAGTAAAATAACAGTGAAATAATGTTCACCTATGATACATTAAATGTTGCAGACTATCAGTAAATCAGCCTACAGTCTGTAGCATCATGCTGCTTTGCAGGTGGACCTTCAGAACATCCTGCACAGTTGTGTCCAAAGTACTGATCCCAGACACGCTGGGATGTGTACATCCTGCCAGTCACGGTGACGGGCAAGATTCCCAAAACTAATCAGAGAGGATTAAAACTTTATATTGGGTGATGGGATTTGCCTGTTCAGAAATGTGTGTCGTTTGATGAAGCTTTATGATAAATTCTGCAGATATTGTGCCATTTTGGGGCACCACACTGGCACTTTATTTTTATCTCAGTCAGGCTTTGATATTATCTGTTGGACCAAGAGAAACGGACACATAACACAGGAAAAAACTGGCCCATCATGAACCTTAGCTTGCACTAAAGTAATTGCTGTGTTCATATTACCGGCCATGGTTGTATGTGTGTTTTAGATTTGCAACTAATTACAGTATTTTTACTATTGATTACACTGCTCATTACTTTCTCAATTAATGTTTGGTCGATAAACATAAAAAAACTGTCAAAAATGCTCATAACAATATCCTAGCCCCCAAGGTGACATCATTAAATGTCTGACTAACAGTTCAAAACCCCAAAACACAATTTACTATAATGGAAAACCAAGAAGAGAAGCTGGAACCATCAAATTGTGAATTAGTTTTACATTTTTAATTTGTGGCCTTAAGCATTGTGGCCTACAACCAACACTAGATGTTAGTGATGACATTGCTTGTTGTCTGTTTTTTTCAGGGAGGTTTGGGAGCTGGACCCTCCTGAGGTGGTGAACTCAGTCCTGCAGTATGCTGCCTGGGGAGTGCAAGGGCAACAACTGGTGAGAACACACAGAAAAACCTACCACAGCCTCACCCTGCCTTTTAGCAATGCCTTACTCTGCCTGCATTAGCAGCATTACATTTTAGATTTAGTGAAGATTAAATCATGTACTTTCTTTTGTGTCCATGTAGTTATTTGTCTGCTGAAGCTTACAGTAAATAAGTTGTTATAAAAGCTTTTTTTTTTTCAAGGATGCATAAGAGTTACTGTAATAAAAACCACAACAAACCGCAACAGTCTGTATACGGCGTCAGAATTTATACAGAAAGAAATCATATTTCAAAGGCTTTGTGATTATTGACCTTCGGCTCCAGGCCTGTGGCTGGCATATAAACAGAGATACAAAGGGCCATGGCACTTTTCAACATGCTCGGAGATGTGTGTGTGTGTGTGTGTGTGTGTGTGTGTGTGTGTGTGTGTTACTGCTTTTACTGCATGTGTATTTGAACCATAAACTGTGGTTATATAGTGCCCAATGCGCATCTAATTCAGAATTCTCCGCTTTACTCATAATGTACTCATGTTCAGTTTTTTTTGAGGGAACCTAATTAGATGCTAATTTTCTCCCATCATACCTTTTTTATTTATCTACACCGAGCAGATGGGGAGGCTTTTTTTTGTTGACAGCTAAAACGCTAAAGCATAGTAGAGCTGCTCTGTCCATATTTGCAAATTTCACCGTGTAATATTTGAGCATAAATCAAACACAACTCCATTAGCAAGCTATTATGGTGATAAGGAGGTGAGAGCTAGACTGATGTGAAGGCTTTCCAGCTCTTGAGTGGCAAACGCACCATCATTAGCTAGAATCTAGCATCTATGGAAACACTGACATGACTTGTGTTTTTTGAGAGTGAGAGAGAGTGAATGAGCCTCACAGCAACTCTTTGGGAATGTGTGTATTCTCATTAGGAAGATGCCAGTGAGTTAAAATTTAGAATATGAATTAGGGGTTCATCCACATCTAAACAGGACGAGGTGAGCAGGATAATCTTCCAGTTTAGGAAGTTTTCTAATTAGCTGTTTGAATGTCTTTGATCATTTATAAATGTGTATTAGAGGTTTGAGATTGAGAAACAGGAATTATAATGTTGCCATGCATCTAGTGTGGGCTACAACTGGAGCCCTATTTTTGGCCCATATTTTTGTACATTTTGGAAAATTGACACCATTAAAAGTTTGCCGAATAAGCTATTAGCATATCCTGTTTGCATTGTAGCCCTGGATTAACAGACAACTATCACTGGACTACTTTGATACTAAAACATTTTTTTTTAAATATGATGATTCCTAGGCAAGTTCTGGAGTCATAAGATTTGCCTATTTTCTATGACGTCTAAGCAAATTCATGGATATTTACTCATGATTAAGATAATAATATCATATATTTTGGACAGTGCAAATCACATTGACTGTAAGAATATGTGTCTGATGTCTGTGTGTTCAAACATGACTGAGTTATGAGTCAGAGAAACAGTGTCATTATTTTTTTTACGTAAATTGTAGCAATGGGAGCTAAGGGTTGCAAAATATCTTAATTGGCTCCCTGGGGAAGTGTGTCTCACTGTTTCAAAATATCTCATATGAATTAAGAATTTTGCTCATGGTGAATATTCTGCTCACTTTCTAGAATTATTACTCTTATTACTACAATAAGTTGTGAGTAGAGGTATTTTACAGACGTCCAACATTATTTTGGAATTGTGAAGCAATTTTTCTTTTTATACTTTTGAAAATAGATAAAAAAAATATTGTTGTAAAGAACAGCATGTTTATATATATATATATATATATAGTTTTGTCAGTGTACACATCTAACAGACATAGAGCAACATTAGTATTCACTGGGAGTCACCTGACAAAAGGAAGTCCAATATTCACTATCCTTTCTTGGTCTCCACCAACCCCTGAGGGAAATATCTGGCTCTTTAGCTGCTAGATGCTCCTCCATGTTCAACAGCATGTTGCTGTCTGCTGTTTGGTAATGGGCAAAGTCGAGTGGGTGTTTTCTAAAGACACAGCAGTACAAAAAAGTGTTTTTAGTGCAAAATTCCCTTTTTGTAGAAGTCACAGTGTATGAAAGTTGGGAAATATTTGAGCGATTGACTCACACATGGTTGGTTTCGGTCTAGAGGTAAATCTCAATTTGTGCAGGTAACATATGGGAAAAAACAGCACTATCTGAATTTCCTATTTCCCAGGGCCAGATCTCTAAAATCCCTAAAACAGCTTCTAAAACGTTATCTAACCTACAGCAATAAAACCTCAAATGGCTGATTATTCTCACTCTACAGTTACTGTAATGAGTCCCCCATTTTAGAGCAGAACTTCATTCTTGCAGAGTCTGCTATTAAATAATCATTTCTGTGAACCTTTTAGCACATGCATAGACTGCCTTCTGGACTGATGATATCTTGATGCCTTCCAGCCAGACAGCACAGGGCTTTGCTGACAGTGAGGTTATGTCAGTGCAGAGAGAGGCCCTTTGCTAATTAATTTTTATGGAACATCACATAAGGCCACAGACTTTTGGCTTTTTGGAAAGGCCAAGGAAAGATTCCATCTGAGACAGACATTGGTCTGTGTGATGTTGAGAGATGTTTGTTGGACAAGTTGGATTTTTGTACTTTGTGAAATGTGTCAGCTAAGGTCAACACTGTTTTTTTCTGCAGGGAAATGTAGGTTGCACTCTTTGTATGGTGGATAGTACTACTAATGCAGAAGTTATTGTTCCAAACAGCTAAGGGCTAAGATGTGATCTCCCAAATTTGCCTAAAAATAATCAAGTTTTTATCATTATCACTGTAATCCAGTGATAGTTGGACATTAGAGGGTGACACAGGAGTGGATTTTCACTCCTGTCCCTTCGCAATCCCATGACAAAGTAAAAAAAACAACCTGTCTTGTCCCAGTCCTATGATGAATAATGAAACTGATCCCATCCTGCAGAAATCCCACAAGAACCCTGTGACCCACAGGAGTCCTGAAAAAATGTCTCTCTACTGGACATCCATGGGTACACTGCAAACAGGAACTGGGCTAAAAAAAAAACATGCTTAAAGTTGTAACCTGTAGTGTTATGTTCTCTAATGGCAACATTATACCTCATCTTTACATTCCTGAAAAAGCATTATGGGAACTGTAGTTACAAATCTTCAGCAAAAATCCTTTTTTATGTTGCATTGTTATTTTTTTTTATTTTTTTTACTAAAAATGTCCAGTCAACATGTTTTTTAATGGGTTCCCATTCTTATGCAGATATTTGTATCTGTGATGAAAACCTGCTGACATACAGGCAAAAATACAGAACAGTTTTGAATTAGAGAGTTTGGGTGCGTTGGCAGGTTGCAGTTGTCTAAGTCTTGTCTGAGTAGAGACCTACAGCGTCAGACAGAGCAGTGCAATTAAAATCTCAAGGCCTTTGGAGGAGTAACAGGTTTGTTTCTAGTACATTAGAGTTAATCGCTCGATTGCTTTCCGACACCGCCTTGCACCTTTAATCCTAAAAGAATAGTTTGGATGCTTGAGCAGATAATGTGTGTATTTAATATTGTTATTTAATTGTTAATCCAGTGGATGTGTGCTACAGTTGTGAAGCCTGAAATCTGACACATACTTGAACATTTAACAGCCATGCACTAGTATTCCTCTCCTGCAGCATTTCTAAAGTCGTGACTGTGTGTGCTTCATCTCTACAGATCTACATATTTGAAAATAACATCTACTACCAATCCGACGTCAAGAGTAACTCCCTTAGGCTGACGTCCTCAGGGAAGGAAGGAGTCATCTTCAATGGGATTGCTGACTGGCTTTATGAAGGTACGTATCAGCTCTCATTCTTCCACAAAGCACACAGTTTAGCCCTATTCCTGGTAGCTGTTTGAAGAATCTGTGGCAGAGAATTTCAGTGAGCTTGATGTCAGATAATGATGTGTTGAGAAACTGCGTATAGAGATGGAAATATTTATAATCATTTTTGAAGTGTTGACAGACTGTCTCATTAAACTGTAAAGGCATATGTTGAGAAACATTACTTTTATAAAAGACAAGGATTGAATATTCATAATGTTTGTTCTAGTGCAGATATCTCGCCACTGGGTGTGAGCCATCGTTTTATGTGCTTTAACTTAACTCACACTGCATGCACTTAGTGACGTCGGGCATTCTCTCAGGAGAAAAGAAGATTATGTAAATCTTACAAAAAGGCAAGCGACCACGGTAACTGCACTGCTGTTATGTCCTGGTTTTTTCCTTTTATTCTTAATTATATTCATGAAGTATAATAATGTAGCAATCAGTGATGGTTGACCCCAAAATTAGAGCTTCATTTAATGCCTCTTTTATTTTATTAGATCTTTTTTCCACTTCAGTATGTTTAATTCTCTGCCTGTATTTGAAGAGCATGTTTGTTTATTACTATTAACGGCGAGATAAGGCTGTATTTTCTATGAAAGGACAGGAAACATTCAAAGATTTATCATCACTTATGGGATATTAACTAATGTTTTAAAGAGTTGGGTCTGGACTTACTCTATTTGAAAAGTGTCCTGAGATAACTTCTGTTATGAATTGGCGCTATATAAATAAAATTGAATTGAAAATTGAATTGAATTAACAGTGCCCTAAAATATGATCAAAGTGATCAGCTGAATGTGAGCGAAGTGTTAAAGAGCAAATTCAGAAAATGTACCTTGAGTGTGAGCACGGATACAAAAATATTTTACCAAGTTTCATACTTAATTTATCATCTTTATTGTTTAAACCACTTAACTCGTTCCTTTGTTACTTCACGTCATCTTCATAAGACAAGTAAAAATAGAAATGTTCACAGAGGGTAACACATTTCCATCTAACTGAATACTGTACTGTAATTTAAAGCTGCTATAAGTGTAAGTTGTAAATGTTTAACACTGTCACCACAGTGGTAGTATCACAAAAGGCATAAAGGCTATAATCACATCAAAATCCTACGTATATTTAAACTAGCTTTAAGCATCTATTGGCAGATCATATGTTGTGATATTTTGTGTTACGAGATGGTAAAAACGAATTTACTTTTTGATCCTTAAATTGCGATTCAGTAAAAGAATGTAGCTCATCCTGTTTTTCCTCCTTCCAAACAGAGGAGATCCTTCAGACCCATGTGGCACACTGGTGGTCACCTGACGGGGAGAGGTTGGCCTTCCTGATGCTTAATGACAGTCTGGTGCCCAACATGGCTTTACCTCGTTTCACCGGCATGACATACCCCAAAGGAAAGCAATACCCGTACCCCAAGGTAAATTTAGAAGTCACACCATTAACCATCAGCTTCCAGGCAAATATGAAGTACAAGATATTGGGTGTCACATATGCTTGTTTGCTTCTTTTCAAGAGTGAGATGAGAAGATCAATATCATTCTATATTGTACGTGCTACTCTCTCTTCTAACGGACTTCGCTACTGGTTTATCACATCAAGGCTCCTGCTTTGTCCCCCTGAGACAGGTCTTTGCACACACCGTCCAATCAGGAGGTAGCAACAACACACTAAAAAGCCCGAGCGCATCTGCTGTTCATCTCCCTTTTGCACTCAGACACCTTAAAACACAAATCTACACTGGGAATCTCCAGCCACCCTCCGGTGTCGCTGAGTAATGTCCTCTACCACCAACAAGCTTTTAGTCGTCTGTCTCTTTTCCGCTGCCTCGGCCTGGTGCCGCCAGCCAAGGCAGCGGAAGCAGGTGTTGTTACCATCTGAGGCTGACTTCTGACCTGCCTGCATCTTGTCCCCCCTGGGAGGAGTTTGAAAGACGCCAGCAGTTTACTGTATCAGTCAGCTCCCTCTCCCCCCACCAGAAGTGTAGTGCTGTTGGTTTAGTTAAGTACCAGAGCGCACGTATGACACACTCGCATATGGTGGCTTGTTTTGAAGGTTATGTAACCATGTTCCAGCAGTTGCAAGTTTACATACATTAGTCAACTATACCTAAGCACACAATATAATAGGCTACGCTATACAAACGGAGCTAAGCAGGCCTTTACTTCCTGCAGGCATTGTGGATGCAGCACAGTGCTGGCCAAGTTTAACAGGATGGCTTTGTATTTCTTTGCAAATGCATCACAAATAAATAAACCATCAGGAGAGTGAGAGATGAATGACACTATATAACACTAATGTGAAGTATTATTTTAATAAAAATGTGCCTCGTTAAATGTGTTGTACATGCCAACATAATATGTCCATAGCATAATCCTAAAGGCAACTATATTTGTGCTATGATATTCCGGTGTTTTATTTCTCCCATAATGTATTGTAACCAGTGACCAAAATTGCATTGCATTTGTTATTTTCTTTCATATTATGAAAAAAACGTTAGAAATGAATAGTACCTAATGTTAAAAAAAAACTTTTTTTTTTAGTTTTGTATCTCAGTGTGTTTGTTGAGCTGCCACTATCCAAGAGGGAGGGAACAGTTTTCCCCACTGACAGCAGCCTCAACTGAACAGAATGCAATGCACCGCAGTGATAATACACATAACCCAGTTTTCACAAAGTAGTTGGCTGGCTGCAATAGCTTTGCCCGTATTTGATTGAAAGCAGCACCTGTTGTTCCCTCAGTGGATCTGTCTATAGGGCTCTCTCTGTGCATCAATAGAAGTCATTTTAGGAATCACAGGAAATGAAAGTAGAACGAGTAGTTGGTGGAGTTAAAAAGAAAATTAGACTACAAAGAATCACAAATTAAGTCGTAGAATTCATTAACATCAAACAACACTGATCTCAACAGTGTTATACTGTGTGAGGGAAGATTTCTTGTGGATTTTTAGGCAGTACAAAGTTCAAAAGAGAGCAAATACCCACTATTTATGATTGGAATTTACAGTTGCTTTAGTCAAGTATTTCAATGCATCTTTAATCAACAGTCTTTTTCATGTCTGCTGTTTAGTTTTTAAGACAAAACTCACTTGCATCACTGCATGTGCATTTTAAAGACTTTGAAGGGACTTTTAAAGGGGTGTTCTCAATTAATTATTCATTACAAATCACTTCATCCTTCTGCAGCAACACTATCCAAAATGACAAGTGTGACTTCTAAAGCATCCTCCACTGCAATGATTTTCATCTAAACTCTGGACTGTTTGTTCTGCGTGCAGGCTGGCCAACCCAACCCGGCGGTGAGGCTCTATGTAGTCAATCTTTACGGGCCAACGCACACGCTGGAGCTCATGCCTCCCGAGACTCTCAAACTACGGTGAGAAAAGCTGCATTTTGTTTGTCAAACTTTTGCATCAGCTGACGTGCCACTTAAAGGGATACTTTTGACATTTTAAACTTTGGATGATCATTTTTCCTCACTAGACACTCTGCAGATTTAATTGGGGAATCTTGTACACTGCAGCTCGCTGTGCCCCTGCATTGCAGTTATAATAGCTGTAACTTTTACTTTCAATGAAGATAGCTAACAAACTGAAGGACAAACAGTGACCAACAAATCCCAGCCTGCATAGGTCTGGTGAGGCAAAAGACCATTTTCTTTAATCATTTCACATTGAATGGAACTGAATTTGTCATTTGAACATATTTAAAGAGACCTCATTATAAGTATGAGTTTTTACAAGATTGCATCACTGTATGGCAGAACTCAATGTTATGGCTGTTAATGATTTTCTTGTGACTTTATTTATTCAAATCTACTGTATCTACTGTACAACTGGTTGCACTTTTTTTTGTTTGTTTATTTGTTTATTGTACTGGACTCTTACTGGAGTCTTGGAGCACTCTGAGCGGCTGTGGCTCAGAGGCAGAGCGGGTGGTCCCCTAATTGTAAGGTTGGTGGTTCGATCCCTGGCTCCTCCTGTCACATGTAGAAGTATCCTTGAGCAAGATACTGAACCCCAAATGGCTTCCTTTGTGAATGTGTATGAATGTGTTAGTTTCTGTTCGATGGGCTTTGCCATTGTGTGTGAAAGGATGAATGTGGCACGTAGTGTAAAAGCGCTTTGAGTGGTCAGAAGACTAGAAAGGCGCTATACAAGTAGAGGTCTATTTACCATCTGACTCACAGCATTTTGTGAAATATTAAACCAGTCTTAAAGGTCCAGTGCGTAGAATTTAGTGGTATCTAGCGGTGTAGTTGAAGATCGCAACTGACTTTCTTCCAAGCGTGAAGGAGAAACTACGCTGGTTGCAAAATGCGCAAAAACACGATTGCCACCATCTAGAGCCTCTGTTAGGTTTGTCTTTTCTGGGCTACTGTAGAAACATGGTGGTTCAACATGGCAGAAGGAGACCCGCGGTGTCTGTATATAAAAACGGTTCCTCCGAAGGTAACAAAAACAGAAACCATACCTGTGAACATTACACCGATCAGCCACTGAGCAGCCCTATATACAACAAACTGCGTTGCACAGTGCATTCTGACACCTTTCTATCAGAAGCAGCATTCACTTTTTCAGCAGTTTGAGCTACAGTAGCTCGTCTGTGGCCAAGGCTCAATGATGCGATGGCTTAAGATCCAGTCGTCTAGACATCACAGTTTGACCCTTGAAATCCCCTGTCAGTGGTCATAATGTTATGGCAGATCGGTATGTATTGCATTTCTGCCAACAGCACCTCATAAATGTTATACACTGGACCTTTAACACAGAAATGATGTTCTCCGTGCACAAAAAGTCAGAAAGTCAAAAGGTCATGTCTTGTAACACCATGAAAAGACTGTGTAGAAGAGACATGACAAAAGAAGAGCAGAAGTTTCAGTGATTTGGTAGAGTTGTAGGGACCAGGAAGCTTAGAAATGAACCTGCGTCCTTGACCTAGTTGCCAACTGCAAAAAAAAAATTCTATTTTGACTTTTATCCTCAGTAATTTTATTTCTTATTTTAACCATGCCCAGAGACTTTAAGGAAACTGCTCATTAAAATATTCACTGTACATGGAAATAGTGAGCTGTGGTCACATAATCCTTTCATGATAACGTAACCTTCACATCAAATCTGTGCGCAACATATAATCTTCATCTGTGCACATTTTATTTTACCATTTAAAAATGCATATTTATATAATTAATCTGCATTTCCTTCTATACTGATTATCTTTAACAGTGAGCTGATAATTGCAGCACTTGAAATAACCAGTGTACTGATAATGTTTGTTACAGGGAACATTATGTGACCATGGTGAAGTGGATCAGCAAGACCAAGACATCTGTCAGGTGGTTGAACCGAGCCCAGAACATCTCCATCCTGACTGTGTGTGACACCACCACTGGAGCCTGCGTCACGGTGTGTGTATATGTGTGTGTGTGTGTGTGTGTGTGTGTGTGTGTGTGTGTGTGTGTAGAGAGAGAGAGAGAGAGAGAGAAAGATAGGAAGAGATTAAAAAGTGTGTCCTTGAGTTGATCCAAGGTGAGATGCTTTGAAAATGTTTAACATTTCGGTAACACTTTATAATGAGTACACACTATTAAGCATTAGTTATGGATCAGTAAATACTGAATTCATCATTTATAACGTATTTTTCTGACATGAATACACATTAGTATGTAGTTTATAAACAGTTAAAAATGTTTATTCATCATTGATAAGCACATTAGTTATGGATCAGTAAATACTGAATTCCTCATTTATAAAGCATGTTCCTGCCGTAAATACTCATTGCTATGTGGTTTATAATCACAGTTATAAATGTTTTACATATAAATATGTTCTATATCACTTTGTGTTGTGTCTCTCCTTCGTCTGTTAAGATAACTGAAAACTTTGTGAGTCTTGAGGCATTGCCAGCCTTTAAATCTCATTTGTAAATGCTTTATAAGCCATAGATAGTGCTCACTTTAGATGAGCTCAGACAAAATACTTAATTAACGAGTAGTAAGTGCTTCGTAACTGCCTCAATTCATGAATTCCTGCATTAATAACTGTTTATAGGACATCCATTGGAAATTAATTTGTGAGTTTTTTATGGAACATCTGCTAACACAGTCACTAATCATTAATACATGTCTGAATAGTGGATGTGCAAGTGCATGCAGAAATGTACATCTAAATAGTTTGTTCATCATTTACATACACTTTCTAAATGATATTACAAACCACTGGCAAATCCTAAATAACTGGTTAGTAAGTGATGTAATAGCCTACTTGATTTAGAAATGCTGAATCCATCATATATAAAATATGAAAATGCAATCATTAGCACGTTATAGATGAGCTTATTAATGAAGAGTAAAACATTTATAACTGTGATTATAAACCACATAGTAATGAGTATTTACGGCAGGAACATGCTTTATAAATGATGAATTCAATATTTACTAATCCATAACTAATGTGCTTATCAATGATGAATAAAAACATTTTAACTGTTTATAAACTACATACTAATGTGTAGTATCATGTCAGAAAAATGCGTTATAAATGATGAATTCAGTATTTATTAATGCTTAACTAATGCTTAATAGTGTGTACTCATTATAAAGTGTAATCAAAGTTTCTAATCTATTGTCCGCAAAATAAATGTGTTGAAAATGGAAATTTCATTGCCTGTGCAATACAACCTAATGCTCAATATCAAACTATATCAAAAGGCTAAGTAGTGCTTGTCAAAGTTTAGAGGAGTGCTATTTGCAATTGTGTATATTTGATCGAGCTTAGTAAGTTCTTGCGTATTAGTTCTTGAGTTATTTCCAAGGTAACCGATGTCTGTCCAGTGTTCATCCCCTGCACTCCTTTTCTTCAACTTTCTTTTCATGAGTTTTTGCCATTTTAAATCTTTTCCTCTTTATATCCATTGAGTGATTTCTACCTGCTCTGTTGTTGTGGGTTGAAGATGTTTTAAGAAAGAATGACACAAATGGTGGCATCTATTATTCATGTTAGACAGAGAGTACAGGTGCCTTGCATATGTTTATGAGACTCATTAACCTATTCAGCAGTCACGCAGACAAGCATTATCTGCATCGCACCGGCACAGAACTATTTTAAATTCTAGGTGAGATTTGAAAGTTTTCAGAGATAACAAATGCATCATGCACCAAACCATCTGAATGCCTTTATTTCATATAATGCTGTGCTGACGTCATATCCAGAAGAATGTTATTCCAAGCAGTCGAGTTCATGTCAGCTTCTGACTTGTTATTGTGAGTTGGAGATAACAGGGATTTCTATAAGCTACAAAATGTCCCATTTCACTGTAAACAAACACCTAGCAGCATGGATTAAAAGTCACATTTAAATCTTTAGAAAAAGAAAAGCATGATGTAAAGCTGAACATGCTTTACATTTTTTATTGAGAGGGACACATAGGTTTGGATGATATAGCTCTTGCTCTTACATGGGTTGAATGTAGTTACTGTATAGAATAGAAACAATTCAGCTAAATTATTTCACCTTCCTGAGTTTCACCTTAGTTTTTCATGAACAGGTACAAATATGTAACACAACAAAGAAGCTAATTTAGGGTATTTATCTGGTTTGACTACTACCAGCAGTCAAGGCTAAAAGTGCCATCTTGGACGAATGCATGAACACTCCTAAGTCCCAATAATGGGAGGTTTTCGATATTGTGTGACTGCAGTGTAAGGGACGTTACATGAATATTTCCAAAGTGAAATGATGGGACAGCTCTAAATTAAATCGCACAATATCCAAGATCTCCTCCAAATTTTCACATTTTGTTCATTTCTAAAGTTTTCCTCCTGAACACAAGATGTCTCCTAGTTCCCTGTGAAGTCTATTCTCAGCGTCCGTGCACTGGTAGCTTCAAGTCTCTACATCACACTTGTATAAGTAGCATACTTGTGATGTCGCAAATCATGCTCATAGGCCCCGCCCCTTAAAAATCTGATTTTCAGTGAGCCCAGAGACACGTTTCACTTTAAGCAGATGAATGTGAAAACATCCTTCTAGTGACTCTCCACAGACATCATTCTGCACAGTGAAGATCAAACATCACACAGTAGGAACAAGAAGAAAAAAAATATATTTCTGAGTCAAGGGAGACTTTAAGATCAGTCACACAAAGTGCTTAAACTGTTCACCAGTTAGCTTGCTTGGAAAGTTTTTTTCCCAATTAAATAACTTTAAAATCCTGAGATCAAAATACCAGAAAGGAATAAATGCTACAGTACAGAGAAAGTAGAAAGAAGTAAGGAGAGCTATTGTGTGTAGTTCTAGCATGTTCCCAGCTTCTAAGTCTATTAGCCGTTAGCTGGCTCAACAACAGTAGTTCACCACAAGTTTTCTGAAATCATAGCACATCTGCTGAAGTAAACTCCTTCCATATTCTCTCAATATTTGGATGACACACAGCAGTGTTAACCCTGCAGTTGAACTGTGGGACTCAACAGGCCGCTTTCCAGTTCCGTGCTCCCTGATTCGGTGTGATTTGCACGAACAAACATGCCGCCCAGCCAAGAGGCAGCTTAGCCCAGGCCTGGACACAGCCCCTGCCAAAACTCTGGCTCTCGCTCATGCATATTGGTTTGGAATGAGGGCTCAGACTGGGAATGGTGTCCCCAGTGGCGTGTTAAAATAAACAACAAAATAAGGGGTCCATTATGTGACAGATGATTCTGTCTGGAAAATATGCCTCTGAAGTGTTATTCCAAAATAACTTTTACAAAATATGAAAAATATAACACTTTTAAAAATGTTTTGCTGACTGTCATAAAAGAAAAATCATTTGGGGAAAGAATATGATTACACTGCATCTACAATATTGTTCTCTATTTTACAATCTCTGTGTACCAAGTCGAAGTGTAACGCAGTGCCAAGAAAGAAAAGATGAGAGAGTTCTGATGATCTGAGTGAATTAACAGCAGTCTGACATTTTGCTCTGACATCTTTTTCAGAGACATGAAGAAAGCTCTGAGCTCTGGCTTTCCAAGCAGGTAAAGTGCCACTGTTACTGTCTATTCTTGTAAGCATGTGCTCCAATGCTGTATGTGACATGAGGGACAACTTCACCAATTTTCCACCTCATACGAACACTCTTCTCAGTACTCCGTATCTTAATATCCTAATGTGTCGACCCTTTAAATCATTTTCCTCAGCAAATGAAACTGCGAGGCTCTGAAAGGAGTGAACTTAATTATCACATGTAGGATTTAGGAGCAAAGAACAGAGCCTCCCTTGGAGATACAGATAATATTGAAGTGCACTGGGTGCATTGCACAAGTTAAAACAAGCCATTTAAATCAGTGTTTTCATTCAATAGTTCATCCAAGGAATTTTCAAAATTGCAGCACATGAACTTTTTTAGAAAAATATTTAGATAACCTTTCCCTGTGAAGATGGACAAAGCATGGCTGTGCTGTAGAATTTACTTATTTGATCCCCATCCCTTTGCTTGTGTAATAATGTCCGTGGAGCCAAGGACATTCAGTAGCCTGGCTTCAAATAAAAGCCAGCAAGGCCAAAGCATGACCCTGTAGCACTAGTTCAATTTAGATATGGTGGAATATTATTTTTCAGAGTTCAGATTGAAACACGTTTGGATTTATTTCTCAAAGGAGAGAGTGCAGTCAACATTAGTTTTTTTTATATTATTTACTCAGATAGTTTGGATTGCAGTGACGGAGGCAGAGGAGAGAAAGATTCTGGCAGGATTTGATCATATCGCCCTGCAGTCATACATGTTTGGCTGTAGCGGCGGGTAATTTCACCACTTGACAGTTTTGGCACGCAGAGCTACATGTCTTTGTTAAGGTGCTAATCTGCGAGATGCTCATTTACTGACTATGGGGTTGTGTCGGTGCAGAGAGAGGCCCTTTGCTAACACATTTTTATGTAGGATTGTCTCATAAGACCTCCGAGATCCACAGCACTTTCTTCGAAATGCCAAATGCTCATACGGGGTAACTCTCTCCATCTGAGGCAGACTGTGTTTGTGTTACTGAGTAAGATGTTTATTCAGTGTAGGTTTGATGAATTCACTCAACAGTATGTGCTTATCTGGCTGGAGTTGAACTATTTTATGTAAGGCTATCTAAAATGTATTCACTTGAGAGTCCAGGACTATGATTTTCTGTTAGCAAAGTTCAATGGTGTTAGAAGTATTCATATATCTTAAGAGTAGCAATACCCCAATGTAAAAAAAAAAAACTCAAGTAAAATTTGAATTGAATCAATAGAATTAAAAGATCAAAACTATGTATTATGTAGTTAGGTAGGCCCTTGACATTGCTATATTATATATTTCATATAAGTGGATTATTGTTATTCATATATTAACATGCAACCAACATTTCAGTCTTGTATCTGGTTGAGGTGGAGCTACTAAGTGTTTTGTCTTTGCCAAAAAATGTATTTGCAAAGGAACTATGCAGAAACCTTTGCTCTCAAATGTGATTGATGCAATATTTGCCTGTGAAATGCTGGGGATCGGAAGTAAAGAGTGGTGGAAAATTGAAATATTAAAGGAAAGTACAGAGCTGTACTTAAAGGGGCACTCCAGCGATTTAGCATTATGCTTCCAATAATACAAAAAAACCCAATAATCAAAGTTGATATATCCTGACTTTTAGTAGTTGAGCTCCCAAAACACTTGATAGACACTAGGTACATTCCCGATAATGCATCTTTTTGTTTAAACCTCCCAGCTTGGTAATAGCCAGTCAAACTTTATGTCATAGAAGGCATTACACAAATAGGTTGTTGTACTCCTCATCAGTAAATTGATGGTGTAAAATCAGTGCTGTTAAGTATGCCACAGTGCTTGTATAAATGTGTACTTTGTTCCTTTAAAGTACTGTTTTAGTTTCATGGTGCACTTTTCTCTCTGCTGACCATGCTAACTACCCATTTCCCTTCCTGGAAAAGGGTTCTCTCACTCAGTGTTACATCAATCGACAGCAGCAAAGCAAACATTTATTCAAATGATTGTTGCAGATTTACTCTCAGGCTGAAAAAGTGGTTTGACTGTAGAGGCCATTTTCACATCACTCTTCATTCTTTTTGTCCACTTGTTAGTGCTGTTGACGTGAAGGGTAAATATAGTAGTATGCTTCATACCTTTTCACAATAAATGGAAATCTGAGTTTTGTCATACATTTAGACCCAGCCTGGTGTGGATTGATTGATTTATTGGGTGATAAGTGCTGTAGAGTTGATGCATCCTTGCTTTCTGCAGAACCAAGAACCCGTTTTCTCCAAAGATGGCAGCAGATTCTTCCTGACTGTCCCGGTGAAACAAGGAGGGCGTGGAGAATTTCACCACATCGCCATGTTCACCACACAGGTAAAGGTCCAGTTTATACAGCGTATAGCCACAGTTTTCATACCCAAGGGATCTAGAAAGTTCCTTTATTCTAACAGGATGGGTGCTGAGTTCCGCCACAACTTTAATAGAGCTGTTTAATGTGCAGCCAAGTGTATGCTCTCATAGTTTAACCGAAAATGGAGGAAATTACTCACAGCAGCCCTTATTTGTCATGCTGTTGTCGAACCGTTAATTGAAGTCTTGCCATAATCAAGAAACTTCTTGCAATTGATTTATGATACTTTCCTCCTCAGCAGTATAGGCACAAAATCCAATAAAAGGAGCATGTTCTCATTAACACAGATACTAAAACTTCTCCATCTGTATCCAAAGAAATACACAAGTTTCATGTTGGATTTTAGTTGAGTTATTTAAATGCAGGTTTTATGAGCCATTGATTGTTTTTTTGCCGTTTTTGTACCACAGAGGTCCCTCTGATTTTATTCCAATTAAGGGAGCAGTTTCCCCATGATAAAAGCAAAAGTATTAGTTTTTTGGATTAATCCATCACTGGGTGAACATGTATAGCTTATAATTAATTTGTCAGACTTGGTAATTTTTTCTACAGTTAAAAGAAACTGTATCAAGGAAATACTAATATCCAAACAAGTTTTAATATTTAAATGATATTATTGTGTTTGGGACTGTCATCCAAAATGACCCATATGACTAGCAGAAATACTTGTTTTCTGATCTGCCACCCGTGGTTATATGTTTAGGTTTGGTTTACTACTCAGTTAAGGTAAGGTAACGTCACCTCAAGGTGAAAAGAAGTCAGCGTTGACTGCCGCACAAGACGTGTTGGAACTGGGGTCCTCAAAGCCAAGCTTTTCAAGATTTAAAATAGCTCCACTGCGGCCCTTTGCTGCATGTCATGCCCTCTCTCTCCACCCACCTTTCCTGTCTATCTACAGCTATCTCTATCAATAAAGCCAACAAAAGGCAAAAAAAACCCAAAAACAAATAAACAGGAGAAGTGCCTCGCTTAAATTAATAATGCCTTAAAAGGATTTCTTTTGTTCTGCGTATGTTTCTCCAAATCTCTAGTTGATTTAGTCCGATAGTGTCCCCATTCGCCACAACAACCTCTGTAATAACCTGGGCTGATTCACATTGCTTATGTCACACAAGATGTATGTATTTACTTAAACTGTTACTTAAGTTAATGCCTTGGTATGCGTTGGTGTGCTACCAGCCTGATAAAAATGCATTGTTTTATCATCAAACAACCTCAGGGGAGGAACCTGAATCTAGTTAAAATACAAAAGTGGAGGCAGGTATAAAGAGAGAGAGTTAGAACAGCAAAGGGAGAGAATCTATGGAATGCTAAAGTAGCTTTCCCAGTGCTCCTCACTCCCGGCAGTGCTGCAAGCAATGTTAGACGACCGGTCTTGTGTTGAAGACTGTTCTCTTGTCATGTAGTGAGATCCTTCTGCGAGCTTACCAAGTTCAAACAAATAACCTATACTCATCTTCTTTTGTTGTCTCAGTTCAGAGCAGATCAAAATGAAGTCCGACATCTGACATCAGGAAACTGGGAGGTGACCAGGATCATTTCCTATGATGAGAACACTGACAACCTGTAAGTCTAACCAGTTCTAGACATACTAACCGCAACATGATGCATACGCTATATTCTCTAAATTAATCAGTATCCGGTCTGTCCGCTGGTGAGTCACATTTTAGACACTGAACTAAATACTGTACACACAAGAGTGCGTGGTTGGCTAAGCATGCATGTGATATGTATGTATGTTTTCTCTTCACAGTTATTTTCTCAGCACAGAGGGGTCACCACGAAGGCGGCAACTTTTCAGGTTAGTTTTGCATTTGGTAATTATATAGCAACCGCTGCTGACAGCTGTTGTACTTACAGTGCTTCAAATGTGCTACCACAAAGTTATTTTCATTAACATTGACACTTTTATTAATCTGATATTATTTTCTTTCTACTGTGCATATTAACGGATAACGCTGAGCTTTTAATGATCGACAGTGAATTTCTCCTGCTAACAAATATTGTCTGTGTATCCAGTGCATGTAATATATATAATATAATTTATTGTCCTGCAGACACCTCCAATGTTGCCACCTCTAAAACTATTAAAAATACATCACGCACGGTATTGAGGCACTTGGTGACATTGTAATAATCACAGCCAGGAGAAATTATTCTGAAACAATTAGCCAAGTGGATTATCAGTCTCTAGATAGTAACAGTATCAGTCAGACATCACTGAGCATGCTCAGGAACTTTGTTCCTAGTTTACACTGCTTAAGGGCAACAGCTAATTATCATTTTCATCACAGAGTCATCAGCTAATTATGTTCTTGATTGTTGGTTAATTGCTGTGTCTATACAATGTCAGATAACAGTGAAAAAGCCACAAATATGAAATCGTCATATTGGATAAGCTGGAATCAGGGAATGTAAAAAACTATTTTTAACAATTAATTGAATACATTTTTTTATGTTAGTTGACTAATTGATAAATCAACTAATTGTTGCAGCTCAGAGAGATAAACTACAGTTTTTTTCTTAACGGGATAGTTCAGGTTTTTCCAATTCGGGTTGTATGAGGTTCTTATCCATAGTCAGTGTATTGCCTATAGTACACGGCAGTCGATGCGACCCCAGTTTGGAGGGGCAGGCTGGAGTACCAGTACAGAAGCAGAGCTGTGGACGGGGGCTTCAGAAAAATGTATTTTTAGCCACATAAAAAGGCCCACTTCAGACAAATCAGTATTGGTGTAAGTGTACCTTTATATTGGCTTTATATTTTCATCGCTTTACCTTGACGTCAGACGTTCTTCTCCGGTGGGAAACTGAAGCTGTTATGCTCTCTTCAAAGCCACCAGACTGCTTTGAAATCAGTTTCAGACTGACAGCAAGGCATATCGGGGAAACTAGTCTGAATGTAAATGTGAACCAATATAATTTCTTTTTGGCTAAAATAAATTTTTCCATCCACAACAATACATTGCTTAGTTCCCATGCTAGTACTATTGCTTGCTTCTCCAAACTGAGGACATATGGATAAGTACCTCATACAAACCCACTTAAAAAAAACCCAACTATCCCTTTAAGTTCTCTATATTAGGTTGTCTACACAGGTAATATTATATAAAACAAATATTTTTGTCTGTGGTCTCTTCAGCGTATTTTTAGTAGCTAAAAGTAATGCCACCATTACCCTCGATGTGCTCCTTGTCTTACTTTCCTAATTCATCATCTTCCCTCCTCAGTGTTAAAACTGTAGGTCTGTTCCCACGACGGTGTTTGACATGTGAGCTAAATAAAGCGCACTGTCTGTACTTCGATGCTGACATCAGCCCCACAAACCAGCACATCATCCTCCACTGTAAAGGTAGGCCATCTAATATCCTAATTTAAGGCTCTTCCAGTGTCTGCTCTTACAGTTCTATTGAAGTGGCAGTTAAGAGGATCTTCAGCTGCCATAATAACACATATTTCCAGGAAAAATGGACTATGAGGGTGCGGGTATAATTACAAGGAATTATTTTGCGAAATTGTTCACAGACTTGTTCAAAAGTGTGCATGACTTAGAAAGCACAGCAGTATGAAGTAAGTTACCTGCCACTATAAAACTGTAGCAGACTTCACCCACGCCTTCCTCAGTAGAGTGAGAATAACAGGCACCTATGATATCTTTCTGCTAACTGTTACAACCTACATGCTAACAAAGTCAAATGCAGTTTGGCATGAATGGCCAATTTTGTGGGGAGTAGCAGAATTAGCAAGTAGTGCAAATAATTACTGCTGGCAGGGAGTAATAAGTAAAGTAATAATATTACTTTTGAAAAGAGTGATATATTACATTTTTTGAGTATCTATAGCCCAACACGGCATACAAACTCTACAATCTGGCAAAGACAGAATGGAAACCGGCCCGTATGTATTCTGCAATACTAATGAGGGAAATGGGGTCGAGGTGAGCAGGTGGGCGGGGAGACGGTGAGGAGATGGCGGGAAAGAGGTGACTGCAGGGCAGGAGGGAGTGGCTGGATCTGAAATGACAGTATGTGACAGGGACAGTGGAACAGACAGCAGATTGAATACTAGGAGCTGGCAATCGTTACAGCAGTCCTATTTTCCAACTTGTTTTGAATCATAATAATGTATTAGATGAAAGCAGATTAACAGTAGTTGCAGTTAGTTTTTTTTTTTTTTTTTAGTTTTTTTATTTTACTTTATTCTTTTTTTTATTTTACAGAAAGTAAAATAATATCAATTCAAATGTGTGATACAGAGGTTACATTTCGGCATACAGATTTTCTTTGTGAGATCCATAAAGATATAAATGTGTTCATCTAAACACACTGGAGTAAACTTTGCACTCAAGCTTTTACCTTTGAGTTAAAGTTCTCTGTACTATAAAAGACGACACAACTGCAGATAGTTGCAGGTAGCGTATTATAAAACTCTTAGAATCTGGGGATAAATATTATAAAGTGTTTTATGTGTTTAAATTGATTCATCTGGTAGATGTCAGGGTTTCCCATGTAGTACGTCACCCTCCAACTCTTCAGTTTTAAATTAATCTCTCATCAGTTCCAAATGAGAGGCATAAAATTTAAATAATTAGCCACAGTATTTTGTATAATTACCTTTGGGTAGCGTTATTGGGAAACGAATAGCTTATTTAATAGAGGGCAACTCTTTATATTGTTTGTGGTTTCAATTTATTTCGAGCAGATGAAAGCACTTCATGCTCTTGGCATTTGGTGGGGTGATTTATTGGACAATAACACTGTTCCCTTTCCCAAAAGCAATAAAAATAATGGAGAAAGCTTGTTGTCTTTAGAGGGCCAAGTTCACATAACCTCAGCAAGTTTGTCCTGACACCTGATTTCATCAGGAGCAACACAAGCCTTTTAATTCTACTCATAAAATGCTTTTGATTAGTTTAGTGTTTTCAACCAGGTACATGCACATAATGAAACCATTTTTCTGTGTGATATGAACAAGTGTAGTAAAGAATGCAAAGGTCAAAGCTAATACAGCTTATACCAACAGTAAGTGCAAGTGTAGAAATAAAGTAAGAGCTATGGTTTGTGTTTTAGAGCAAAGAAAGTAGAGCAGGTGGAATGTGGTTGTGGCGTGGAGGAGTGTGTTTTGCAGCTGCCGAGGGAGCATTTTAGCCACAGCTGAGCCATTGAGCAAACCTGCCATCCTATTAACCTCTGACTAAGTATTTTGCAAAAGGACATTGAAAAGAACTGACTTAATTTGACAGTCTGAGGCTATTAGGGAGGCAGTGTGAGTGACCTTTAACCCCTAATTGATACAGGTAAGGAAGGGAAGGTGAGAAGCAAAACAGAGAAAACAAGACAGCTGCCTGCATTTGACTTTTGTGTAGCTGCTTTAGTGGAGCATGTACAAAATACCATTTACGATGTCATGTTATTATGTTGGTTTGAAGAATACCAAAGTTTTTACTTGGAAATGTAAAATTGTCCGTCGATATGTATGCAAAGCACACTTAATTCTGGCGTGAGGATTATAGAATGACAGGATAATGTTTAAGTTGCACTCACAAGTGTTTTTTTCCTTTTAGGTCCTGGAGCACCAACTGTGATCTTACACAGCCTCAATAATTCAAGTAAGGAATTCCTTTAGTCTTATGGGAATGTCGGTTTATTTTAACCCTTTAACCCATTTTCCATAAATTTGGCTATTGCCGTTTTATGTTTTATGATACTGCATATATGATATTGCACTCGCCACCTCCAGTGTGTGAACTATGCCATGGCTTTTGGGGGACCTCACTTTTTTTAACTGTAAGGGGGCTGATACACTATTGAATAAAAAATGGACATAAAGTTTGCCATCAAGATATCAAATGCAAGGAGAAACGCAGAAGTTTATAATATTGTCTCGACTGCCACACTCGGTCATGGCAAGAATATGAATTCTGGAATCTTTATTAAAGTGAATTAGTGATCACTAATAAATCCCCCTGATTCATGAATCACACATCAATAATAGCCTAATTTTATGCATGAACCATGGTGATAAAGATAGAGGAAAAAAAGAAATGCATGGCAAAAATAGTATATCGTCAATCTTTTAGAGACCACCCAAAATTTCACAGATTGTCAGCTCATGAGGAGCTCCCCCCCGTCTCCCCAGTAGTTCCCACCCATCATTCAGTGATTTCACGTCGAGCAGCTGAAATAACTTCTGAGGAAAATATATTTTTGGGTAGAGGAGGAGTCTGTTTTACCAATCAGGACTACACAATGTATGATTATACAGACTGTTAAATGAGATTTTCAGAAACTATAGTTATCTCATTTCATCCAATTGTCCATTTCTCACATTGTTTAGTTTTTTATTCTTTGGCGACTTTTTTACTTAGTTTGCGTCTTGTTTATCATTGAAACAAATTAACACTGTCAGGAAGACCAGACAAGAGACCACTGCGATACTCCACCCTGCTGGAGCCGAGGGGATCGGAGAGTTTCTCTCAGTCTTGTCTGCACACAAAACCTCTAATTCTCAGTTTTTAGAGTATAAATGGATGATTTAGTGATTGCCTTAATGGGGTTGCAGAGCCAACGTCTGAGTCTATTGAAAAGTACTCAAGGCAAAACTTAAATGGTGGTTTATGAGTTTTCCTTTTTGAAGCCGTCTTGCTGTCAGAGCCAACAGCGTGAAAAGAAAAGACCGCATGAGCTTCATCTCGTTTTCAGTTGATTCTGGTCAACAGGGGGTCTTACAAATCTAGATTTCTTCCCTTTACAACTTTCTTTCTTCTTCCTTTCCCACAGGCGTGGACCAAGACACATGCTATACACACATACACACACATTATTGCATTCACTCTCAGCACACACACTCACACACACACACTTACCGTACACACATGCTTCTTCTTGTTATCCATGCCCTGTATGTCTATCAGTATTTTTTTTCCCCCGCAAAAAGTTAACAGCTGTGCTGCAGAAAAGCAAGCAATTTGCCCAGGGTTATTTGGATAGGCCCTCCATCCACAGCTGGGAACTTGAGGCCTCTGGCGGTTTCATAATGAGACGTCTATTGATTCTGGGTTTTCCATTAGAAATGCTGGATGAATTCCATTTCATTTAGCTGCTTCTCAGATGGCTTGAATGGAAAAATGGCCAAACCAGAGAGTCATTGTTTATTACATGTGGAGAAAATAGCAGGGCTCTTGTTTTTGAGACCAGGACGAGCAAGCTGCCGTTCAGAAATTGAACCTTTTTTTGAAAGTTTTTGGTGCTCATCAAATTTAACTGTAGTACTGAGTTGTTATGGTTTGAATTGAGGTCAGAGGAAAATTATTTGTTTCCTTTCCAAAATAACAAACTGTATCCTTTTGAGATTTTTTTTGTCAGTGACATGATTCACTGCATTCCATTATTTGCAACAGATAAGCCTAACATAGATGAAATCCTGGAATGTGTTTAGCTTCCCGAACCCTTTTACATTCACCACAAAATCAAACAATGTCAGAAACGATCCATGATATTCAGATCATCTTACCTACACTTCCCATCTCATCTCCTTATATCACTGGCTCGAAAGACAAACCCTGACGTCATTAGGGGTCATTTGTATGCAGCAGCACTTCGATTATTGACAGCAATTTTTGGACTCATCCTTTAAACACAATCCTCTGCTCCTTACAGATTACTACATCCTTGAGAACAACTCTTTGCTAAAGGCAGCCTTGAAGTACAAAAGGATCCAGCTGATGGACTTCAGGACTGTACCGATGGAACATTTTGGTGAGAATAAAGTACTGGTTTCTATACTGTACTGTGAACCACAAATGAATTGGTGTTACAGTTGCTACAGTTGTTGTTGTTGTTGTTGTTTTCACAGATTTACCTTTGAAGATCTCCTACCCACCAGACTTCTCTGATTCCCGTCACTATGGACTCCTGCTGCTGGTGTATGTACCATACCGCAGGATGTGTCAGAAATGTATACTGCATGATAAACTGACTGATACACTCTGTGGTCGACTCTTTTATCCAAGCAGCTATACAGAGCAGAAAATATATGCGTGTTTAATGTTTGAGGGCACAGTTGTAATCAAACTCCTGACAATAGTGACATTTGCATACAGACTAGGCCATGTTATGTAAATCACATGGTACCTTTGTGGCACCCTGTGATTGAATAATAAACCAGTAAAAAGAAAATTCCAAACTGAAAGAAAGCTGTTTTAGAAGAACAAGATTTACTTTATTATTCCTCGATGGGGAAATTCTTTTTTCACTCAATGTTTTACACACACAGGCCCAAAATACAACCACACATGCAAATATGGAGAGATGGGCTGCAATGTAGCGGCACACAGGGAGCAGTTAGGGGTTTGGTTCCTTGCTCAAGTTCACATCACCACTTCTGGTGGAACTGGCCCCTCTCCAGCAGTACACACTCTATACTTTGGTCTATGCTGGACGTAGGACGCGACCCTACACTTCCAACGCCAAGTTCCTATAGGGATTCAGCTACTGCTGCCCCATGGCACATGTGAATGTTTTCAACTAATTTCATGAAAAAGGCAACAATGAATTGAATGTATCCAAAGTCTAATATATATATAGCTCTGTTGTTGTCCAAAAACTATTAAAAACACATAAATGAGTCACACTGTTGTGCTGGGTGACATCTTCCTTTATAACCCACACACACACACACACACACACACACACACACACACACAGAAGTTTACTATTCCGCATTCACCATCCTGCTGCTCTAAATGCTCACTGCAGCACGGAACCATGTTAATCCGCCACTGAAAGTAGTCCCCAACAAATGCACTATTTACTCCTTTTTGTGTAACATTTTGTAAAACTACAGTGCCCAGCTGTTTTGTGAATTTTTTAAAGAAATGGAAGTCTGAAATTATGGTCTAACATGTTGCTGGTTTTGCTCTTTAATGGGTTTCTTTAATTGGATTTATTGGCGGATGTGTGAAGAAATGAATAACCTCATCCATTAAAAAATAACTAAGGAGTATCTCTATACATTAAAACAAATTCACTGAAATCCTTGTAATTGATCGCCCTCAGCTGCAGCAGTTTAATTTTGCGAATTGGGATTCTCTAAGTGTTCCTTATTTTTATATGTCTGTGCAGTGACAGCGCCCCTGGTGGTCAGGCTGTGAGTGACCGCTTCTCTCTCAGCTGGGACTCTGTGCTGGTCAGCTCAGACAGCGTCATCGTGGCTCGTCTTGATGGCCGGGGCAGCGGCTTCCAGGGTCAGAGGATCCTGCACGAGGTTCACCAGAGACTGGGAACTGTTGATGTTCAGGACCAGATTGCAGCAGTAGAGTACGTTGTCAGATTCACTTTATTCCACTTCAAACTTTTTTTTTTTGTGCTTTCAATTGACAAATTGTACTTCGTACAAGTAACTCCACTTCAGAGATTCATAACTGTCACATACATGCTGACTCTTTCGTCTAATTAAAGTCTGGTAAAACCGTTTGTTCCCAAGTTAAAGATAAAAGTACAAAATCCTTCCCTTTTACCCTCAAACTTATAATATAAGTTCTTTATCATTTTCCTTTTGACAAAAGAATACATTTTAGAGCTTCAGAGGTTGGTTTAAAAGCAGTCTGTTAGGGGCCCATGTACAGACATAGAGGACAAGACATTTTTTGGAAAGAGCTTTTAAATATATCACCTGTTCTATATCAGCAGATTTAAGTTTTCTCATTTGTCATGGGATTGTGTTAGGGATAGAAAGCTCCAGAAAAGCTACTTGAGGTAAGATTGTTTGTTCAACTGCTGTTTCAACATCATGTTTTGGAGGATCTGCAGTATAAACAATATGTTTTCTGAAGCAATATAATAATGGAGGTTTTATGGCTTGCAGCTGATGCTTTCTTATTTCCAAACAAAGATTTGACTGAAAGTTACACAGCTGGTTCTTCATTCTCCAGAGATGCATACAAGAGGAATAAAGCTGGCATTGATTTTGATTGCAGTTTCTTTCCATTGTCTGCACTTGTCAATGTGGCACTAGATTCCCCTTATTATATGTTCTCTCTGCTATGATGTTCCTTATCTACCAGCAGGAAAGTGTTTCTCCCAGCTCCTGTTTGTTGTTGTTTTTTTAATTTCTAGACAATTTTCAGCCAGTTTCCTTTTATTTCACAGATTAAGTGTTGTTAATTTCACTCATTAATTGCTACTCCACAAATTATTCCACACAGATAAAAGTTCATTTAAACATGTCAAATTTATACAGGCTTTTGAAAAATACTGCCTAACTGAAATGAGAGGATTTCACAGAATGAACAGATGTGTGGCAGGAGTAGAAGCAGATGTAGGTTAAACCTTGTGTGCTATTAGCTGGATGTAAATGTGAGAGCTGCTCTTAAAGGTCAAGTTGGCTCTTCAGGGCATTCTGGGGAGAAATCCTCAAACCAAGGTTTACTTAATGCTTAACCTCAAGCTCCCTGTGTTTTGTCGGAAGGATTACATTGACCTCATGAAACTACTTGTGTTTATAACTTTGCATTCATTAGCAAATATTACTGATATGACCACAACAATCTTTGGTATCGATCTTTTTTTAACCAGATGATTGGCACACAAGCAGTTCTCCACTTATCCTCCATTATTCCACCATATGTGACTGTGGAAATATTTGTGACACAACTTCTCTAACTACTAACTACTTAAACTACATTAAGGTCAAATATACAGTAATAAATAAGATATGAAAATAATAAAACAAGTATAATGACATTGATAGATAAAAGTAAAAGTAAAGCAATTTTACCAATATTAGCTCCTGTTAAGATCAATCATGCCTGACCTATAACATTCTGCTCTTCTGAAGTTTCAGATGATATTAACATAAATATGAACCATAGCTCATATGGTATGTGTTTTCTTTTCCAGATACATGATGAAATTTCCATATATTGATCGGACACGGATAGGGGTGTTTGGAAAGGTGAGCCCATGTTCATGTCTATAATTAGATGGAAAATATATTCAATCTCTGATCTATTTTTACCATATTCATATTGCATATTGCTGCTGCTGCTGAGAAAATCCATGTTGAGTATACCGTACGAATCGATAAGTTTTTCAAAAATATATACTTGTTTACTCATTGTCGAAATTATGTATTATGTTTTTACTCTCACAAAAGTGGGTAATTTTTATTGTTTGCTTTAAAGGACCAGTGTGTAGGATTAAGTGGCATCTGGCAAATAACTGAATCTGTATTTGACGCTCTGGGAATGAGAAGTGAAGGCTATGAACTGTGTAGGAGAAACTACAATACAATACTCGTGAAAGGACCAATCTACAGTCAGTCTTTGGTTTGTCTGCTGTAGATAAATACCGGCTAATTCTAAAGTAACGAAAACACAACAATTCCTATATTCAAGTGATTATTTACTAATAGAAATAGGAATATTTCTGCCAATTGATCCTCCTAAATGTTATACACTGGACCTTCAAGAGGCTATTTTCTTACATTTCTAGTGAATGACTCCAATGATTTAATTTGAGTTTATTTTTTATAGTTTTTAATCTTTGAGTATTTAACCATTGTTTCATGAATGTCTATGTTTGTCTGTGCAGGGTTATGGAGCGTACATTACGTTAATGATGCTTAAGTCTACTGACAGCCTCTTCAAATGTGCTTGTGCAATGTCACCAGTGACAGACTGGAAACTCTATGGTGAGTACAAAAACCCTCCGTAAATCCTGCATCATGGTGAATTTAAACTTCAAACAAAGACTTCCCTCTTAATATCTGCCATCTGGCAAGTCAAGTATCAGTAAAACTTTCAAGTATAAAAATTGATACAACATTTGTGTGGAGGCAGAGAGTATAATATGTAATTTCTGAACCTGTTTACCTCTGACCAAAAAATGAGATGAATTTGATCCTACAGCTCTATAGCTAAATACCAGAGTAAAGAGTCCTTTACAGTCTTAAGCTGACACAGAGGATCCTTTCACCTACACAAGGTGTCATTACCTCTGCACTGACAGCATGTCATTTGGGCACAGGAGGACAGGAACTCCACTTTGTTTAAGTACTTAGCTGCAGCTGAAGCACTGTGTACCGGCGGCACTGCTAAGAATTTATCACTTCTCATTTGCACAGCATCAGCGTTCTCTGAGAGATACCTTGGCATGCCATTACGGGATGACAGCAGATATCAGGTGCGTGTTTACTACCTCCCCTCACTTGTTTGCCGTTGATCTTTGAAAGCAGCTTGCCGTAACATCACTGACACACCTACAGTTAAGCTCCTACAGTTGCTGAATGCGGCTATCAAAGGCAAAGGCAGCGATGCTTTGCCTTTTCTTGTGTCTTTTCATGCTCTGTAGGATTTTGTCACTCATCTCTCTTTGGTAACTGTGTGCGCCAGTGTGTCAGATCACATACCGGAGGTTTTTTATAAGCTGCTGCAAAATGGGTTGCCTGGCTCTCTCAGGCCTCCCGCACAGACAAGATGTTGAGCTATCAGAGGTGTTTTCCACAATGATAAAAAAGAGGGAGTGGGGGAGAACAAAACTCGTTTTTGCAAGCACATTGTAAACAACCAAACAACAAATCTGTCCCAAAGAGGTAATTCACTGCTCTCAGTTTTCTGCAGCTTTGCATTTCCTGTATGCAGACTTGATTTTACACCTTTTTCCTCACAATTGGTTCAAACGGTTATATTCCAAGCATAGAAAATAGTGTCAATGGGAGATACTTTATCACTTGATCTCTAATTGGATTAAATGAGTGTGTCTGCATGTGTCTGTCTCTGTGTGTGCATGTAATCAGGATATAATGTAATTTACCACAGTGCCTTTCATTCCATCATACTTTGTATGTTTTTATTGCCTTCCTCAATGCCACTTAGCACATCTATCAACCTATTATCTCCCCACTATTTCTGATTTCCTCGCAGTTTTCCAGTGTGCTGCAGAACGTTCAAGCACTTAGGGAGCAGACACTGATGCTGGTGCACGGCACAGCCGATGGTAAGAGAAAATAAATGGTGACAGAATGAAAATACTGTATCTGTGGTGTATCACTGCTAAGCACAAAGAAGCATGCAATCCTGGAAGGTAATGAGGCAAATGGTTTTTAATCAGAAGATAAAAGAAAACTGGGTTATTTTAATGGATGCTGGGATTTCCAGAGGAAAACATTTGCTGCTGAATCATGCATGTCGAATTTGTTGAGATATTTCCATCCTTCCAGAATCTGATTGTCTCTTCTTTTTCCCAGTTAGGATTCAGGCTGAAACTTGCTGACATGTTTCGTTTTCTTTATTCCCAGCCAACATCCACTTTCAGCATACTGCTGAGCTCGTCAAGAACCTTGTGAAAGTTGGAGCAAACTACTCAATGCAGGTGTGTATCGCAGAGATAGCAACACCAAGGCACATTCTTTATACTGCATTTGTAAAAACAGTGATGAAATGCACATTTTGTATAATGCCACGGAAACACATACAAAATCATGTAAATAATACATTTAGATTTGAAGTGTTTACAGATGCCAGAGCCAGACCTACCAGATAATATGTGCACTGCTCCTGTGGTGTCAGATTTTACCTTTTGTTTTTACCTAGCTCAGGACAATTACCACAATCGCCAGACTGTGAAGAAACATGGATATTTGCATTAGTGTTACACGTCTCTCTCTTATAAACTAAACTACACTAACCACTAAATGTCCACAGTCCAAGTATTATATTATGGTTGTTTGAGCCAGCATCTCTTGGTGATTAAAACAAATATTAGATTTAACCTGTGTTAAACCTTTTTGCTTACCTTTTCTGGTCTCCGTCAGCTCTTAAGGGAAATATCTGCTTCTGTAGCTTCTAAATGCTAGTTTGTCTTTTTGCTGTGCAGGTCTTGTACAGTTTATAGAGCTTTTAAGCTGAAAACGACGCTATTAGAGTGGTAAGAGTGAACAAAGACATCAAGGTTGCGGGCTGTGAAACCAAAACAATTAGCTGAAAGACGCTACAACACTAGATGTCAAAGTTGAAGGGAACTCCAGATTTGGGTCATAATTCTCTGCGTCAGTAAAAGCAATACCTTTTACACTACTCATAGTCATTAAATCTATTGTTATTAAAAAGATAATGATCAGAGCAGCTTTAAAGAAACGATCTGTAGAATTTCAGCACCCCCCAGTGGTAGTACCCAAAAGGCACTGCCCAGACAGCAGCAGTGCACATCCCTTGAGTTATTCAGTTAGTGTCAGGTACAAAAGACTTCAAAGTCCTATGGAGGTTATTTGTACAGAGGCCGACCCTGTATGTCTACAAATCTACAAAATTAATTCACTTACCATTTACCCACCAGATCTACCCAGATGAGGGCCATTTCCTGTCTCAACAGAGTCGCCAGCACCTCCACGCCACGCTGACCAGCTTCTACAGGGAGTGTCTGAAGGAGGAATTACTACCGCTGCCTGATGAGGAAGAGGAGGAGGAGGAGTAGGCGGGAGGCTTCGAGGGTCAGACCTTTGGCAGAGCTTGAAGAATTTAGCTAAAATCCGTCAAGGCCTTTCGTGTTTTGGACCAAGTGTTTCGCCGGACATGGAGACTGGGTTAGAGCTGTCAAAGCTCTAAAAGTGTGTGTGTGTGTGTGTGTGTATGTGTGTGTGTGTGTGTGTGTGTGTGTGTGTGTGTGAGCACTCCAGTGTTTGACTGTGTATGCCGGTGTATAAATGTGTTGAAAAGATAACTGAAGGACACGACAGTGACACTTGCATTGCCGGGACTTGAGACGGGAACTGCCCTCTAGCATAAAGTCATTTCAGTTTCGGGACGCTCCGTTTCTCGTCAAAGCGCACGGAAGACTGCCTCCATCTTTTGCAGGCTCTCTGGGCTGTAGTCATCCACACTTACCAAGTGCATGGTTCTTTTTGTCCTCTCAGCTTCACTCATTTTGCCATGTTAGTCTCCTTTGTGGTAGCACTTGGGAAGAAAAGAACACAGATGTACACTTTTGATCTCACCTCTCCTTTGGTTGTTGTATTGTTGCACAAGGAAATGCTCCAGCCATCTGCGAAAATGTTTAGTCACGCAACCTCACCACAACAGAGCCGATCCTGAATAAGTGCTATTTCCTGCTGAAAACCCTCCGCCATCGCCCACCCTAAATGAAAACAGTCTTTATCGGTCACACTTTATTGTACAGGGGTCTTGTGTAGACATGTACAATGCCTTATAAGGTTCAACATACTGTAATATTACTTGCTGGCAGTGGTAGTCATCCTTTAGCAGTGTCATGTTAACCTATGTCAACTCAGGTCCTCGAGACACAACATTGCAGTCAGTTTAGTATCTGAAACACTTACAACACTATGTCAGCTGTATGGTCATGAATAAGTTATGAATTATATGTGAAGATAATGGATATTGACCATGCAGTAATTTCAGTTACAGGCCACACTGCTAAAGTTCTCCATCTTAATATGTCATTTGTTTTCTTAAAATCTTACTTTTCTTAAAACAAGTGGTACTGCGTCACCACCCCATTCAAGAACCTTCTTGAAGTCAAGAGACATTTCCCTATTCCTGGATATTCTCTTATTTCAAGAAATGAATAATTAACTGCAGTGGATATTAATGAAAATGGGTGTACTAAGATGGACAATTTTACAGTGTCAGTAAGGTGTTTGCATGTCTACAGGGAATGTGTCAAGTGTTGCCACATTTTGTACAGTACAATACAGCAGAGTGTGTACATAAATATATTTTTGAGATGTCAGATCTCATAGATAGTTTAGTCTATGGGGATGGATTGATTTGACCTGGATGTCTTGTACTTCTTTTTTATTTGATTGTTTTTCTGTTTTTCTTTCAGCTGTTGATTTTATTCTTAGGATGGATTTTGTAATGCTTGTTCTTGTTCTTTTTGCTGTTTTAAAAGGGAAAGGGCAGGGTTGAGGTTTGGGGGTTATTGTGATTGTCCTCTAGTGATGATTATAAATAAAAAAAGACTATGAAAAACAACAAGTTGTGAAGATGCATAGAGCATGCATTACAGCAGAGAACCAAATCAGCTACATTTGTTTGCAGGATTGATTATTGGAGAGGATTGGTAACCCAATCATCTGAACACTTCATGGCCTTGGGACACGCACATTAATGTCTAAGCAGGCAAGAGCTGCTTGTTTAGAGTGATCGAAGCTGCCTCAACACTGCATGTCTGTGTGCATTAATCAGTGCCTGCACTCACAAGCCTCAGTGGCCGAGCAGATGGTAACTCTGCTGAAGGACAGAAACTCTTAAATCTGCAGGATCTGAAGCACCGGAGTTAATGTAGAGGTTTTTCCATCAGTGCTTATCCACACGTTGGGTTTTGAAAGAAACAAAAGATTCAAGTTCAGTCAAAACTCATCAAAGGAACAATAGCATTGTCTAGGTTTTCATGAAGGCCAAAGTTTATTACAGTCAACGTGCAACCTATAGTGAAATGCTTTTCAGTGTACTCCACTTATGACTATGCAAAGAAATGTGACACGCAGCAACTTGTGTACAAGGATGTGTGATAAGAATAGAGGTAGAACAAAATGTAGTGGCGCAAACTAGGACAGACAATAAACAAACCAGTGACAAATTACACGACATAATGGGGTGGAGTATATACAACATTATCCTAAGGACAAAGAAAAGTGTCATGCATGAGTGTGTGCTAAGGGTATTAAATAGCCCAGTCTAAAGCAGATATTAGCAGCAGTAGATATTATGATAGTTAAATAAATGGTTCAGCATTTTGGGAAAATTGACTTATTTGGTCTCTTGCTGAGAGATGTCTGTATGATACATATGAAGCTGCAGCCAGCAGCCGGTTAGAAGCTTTGTTCATAACATTGACATTTTAATTCTAAATCAACATTCGAATGCTGAACATCAAAAAAGGAGTGACCAGGTGACATTGCTGTCTCTGTCTCTTTCCTCTGCTCTCTGTATGAACTGACTGACTTCGGCTGCATTCACACAGATCCGACTATGAGGTTCCATCCTGCAGGGTTGTGCGGAGGTGTGACCATGTTTATTTGTGCTTTAGAGAGTAACCACGTGACCACTGATTCGCAGTTCTGTTCTTGCTGTCACCGCTCCCTCACTTCACTTCACTCGTTGGTCTACCACTGCTGCTCTCGCTCTCTCTGCATGGGGACAGAAAATATGTCAGACATCTTTAAACTCACAAATGAACTTGTTATATTTAATTTGTTTAATCTGTATAAAAAACAAAAATAGGAGAAATTTGTGGTTCCACTGGGAGTTATATGCATCAAACTATATCTTGGTTGGGAGCAGTTACCTTGAAGTTGCTCTGCAACCAGTGGAGGCTCCAGTACATCACTTTGCCCTGCCAAGAAGTAATCCTGCACATGATAGCCCTGCTGTGTTCTGAACCAGCAACTACTTATGTGAATAACTAATTATTATACACTTCATACTGTACTCAAGTGGTAGTTACAGTAATCATGCAATTATAAATCAAGATTACGAGCTGCCTTTGCTTGCACACACATGGAATTTGACTCCAGTTAAGTTTACCTGATGCCACCAAGACAGTACACCAAGAACAGCAATCATAGAGTAACTACAGACTAGTTGTGTGTAAAGTGTGCAGTCTACCCTGATTCTAACTGTTACTTTTTTAAATGTTTTATTTGAATTATTTTGGCTGATCAGACCTCTTCCCTATGGATGTATACAGATAATGCTTGATTGACATTGGAGTCTTATTTCCTTTGACACCTGAGAAGGAAGTCCAATCAGCCCATATAACTCATATCTATTTTGATGTGCTGGGCTGATGAAATATTCTTTATCACCTTCTGTCATGGCACAACATTACACTCAGTTCTATTTGATTGCTATCAGAAATGTGTTTGTATTTTTACGCAATGGTCCAAGCACAAGTAAGAAGGCAATCTGCTCGTCAGCAGTTAGCACTGTCTGTCAGTGTGTCTGACATATTAATTCTTTGCAGACATCTTGAAGTTTGAGAAAACAATATCACCACACTGTCCAATTAGTCTGTTCTGAAGCTTCCAATCAAATCACACAGTCTTCATCAGCAGAATGAGTTTGCTCAGTTGTCATAGAATTGTAGACTCTCAAATTTCCTTTTAGTTTGGTGACATTGTTTGTCTCAGCTGCTGTTTCCAAAGTCAGGGATGAACTTTGAACCTCATCGTAAAGTTTGTAAGTGAAGCCAGTCATGTATCTACTTTTTTTTTTTTACAAGGACAACACACATTGATCAACATCACTATAAGTCTGCTGGCGTCAGCTAAAAGGATATTTTCCGACTGTTGTCCCTTTGCCAGATGGTAAACCAGCCATTAAACTGATGTTTATACAAGCTAATTAATCAGGATTTTTGTCCCATAGAGTTAAAACTCCATTGTTGCAGCTAAAATCTGAAACAAATGTTAACTCTGTAGTCATTTTGGATAGGACAATGCACATCTCATGAGAGAACAGCTTCATTCCAGTAAACACACAAAGACTGAGCCAAGCATAAGCAAACTGTTATGGGATATCTCAGTATGTGATGTTGTTTAATTGAATCTTAAATGCTCTCAGAAAATCACACTTGAGTGAGAGCATTTGTACTCAGCTGAGATCCCAGCAGGGTAGATACACTGTCACACTTTAATGCTGAAAAGTTCAACTGTGGGGGAATTACACATATTTGCTTTCTGATATCAGTCTTGTGTGTGTGTTAAGTACAGAGATGGAGTCCATGTTTTTAGACTACATAAAGAAACAGCTAGCTTTGTTAAATATGTATAGTATATATTCTATAGTAAACAGCTGGGTGAAGTGACTATGCACAGCTTTCTTGAGTTTTGTTTTCACAATGAGACTAGTCTGATATAATAGTACAAAAGCTGTAAAGCCTCACATCTTTTTAATAGTCATCAAATACAACGCTCAACCTTTTGATGTTTTCTTTTGCGGGGTTGGGATCCATGTTTCAGTTTGTTGAAAGGAAATCTTACAACCTTACCTTTGTTGTCACCCCCTACTGATTTGAAATTCAACAATCCGTTCACATCCCCGGCTTCATTTTTGTAATCGTGACATCACCAAGCAGAAAACTAGCTTGCCAAGTATGCTTTTCATCTAGCCTGTAACCTCTATGGATTCAGGTTGCAGTTTGAAGCCTTAGCCTGTGCTTGCTGGGCGATTACCCTGACATTCACACAGAGGCAAACATGTAGTGTAACTAATTGGTGTTGGCAGGTAGTGATAAGTAATAAAATTACTTTTGAAAAGAGTCGCTAAGCTAACCATTTCCTGACTTCAGCTACATAATAAACACACTGACGTGTGACATTGATTTATTCTTCACATCTCCCCACCAGAAAGACAGCAATCCACATATTTCAGCTGTCCCTTTAGTGTTTAACACTGAAGCCGACTCTGGCTTGACTTGGCCTTGACTAAACATTTTATGTCACTAGTGCACCATCAGCAGTTTCAAATCAAGATTGGGTATGTTGTATCAGATATGGCTCTAAATGAAATTCTCATTTTATTGCTTCAGCAATAAACAACCCAACACACAGATGCAAGACTGTCTTGTTTAACAATTTATTTCAGCATATAAATCTTCTCAAGTATACAAATGTCTACAGTCGACATAATGACTATAATGTACAGTATATATATATATATATATATATATATATATATATATATATATATATATATATAACAGAGCAAATTGCAGTCTGACAAATCAAGCAAGTGTAGAAGTGTAAGCAGCACAGGATCATGGTCTGAGAATGATCTGGTTTGCTACGTCCTATTCAAGGAAGGATATGGTGATCATTCAGGATTATAGGAGTCTGGTTATGGACGAAGCACACTGTACAGAATAGACTGGTATTATCACTACTTACATTTCTCCATTTTCTTGCCCATTTGAAACACTTTAAACATTTTGTGATGTTAAATGTTACATGTAACAGTGAAGAATTCAGTTGGCCATAAACATTCAAAAGAATAAGTGTGAAAAAAGCATCCATGTCCGAGTGGACTCGATCATAAAAGGAATCAGATGATACCAGTGAGTACTACTGCTATGTAGTTTCTTCAAAGTCTAGATAAAAGACACATTTCTCATCATATTGCTCTGAAAACAAATATACATTACATTTTCTGATCACTATATAGTCTAATAATCTGTAATATGATGAATTTCATCAAATCCAGCCTATATTTATGAAGTACCCCAAATTAAATAATTCCTAATAGAACTCAAAAAGAGTTCCTAATCACAAAAAACACAAGAAGAAAAACAACAACAAAAAACAAGTTGTGTGTTCCATATAAATGCCCTAAAGACCGTAATTACCTTTTTTTAATGAAAAGCCCTATTCGGACCAGATTAAAATACAGGGGGAAGTGGGGAATGAAATATTCACTCTGTTCAGCTATTATTTAACTCATCCTTCTGGACGGCATTTTGACCATCTGAAAATGGAGAGAAAACAGGGTGTGGTCAGCAGTAGACATGGACGGTCCATCACTTTTGCCCTTCACACTGACTGTTTACCTGCATGCAACCAAAGCCCACTCATATGGGATTGGTCAATTCTAATTGGACTACAAACAGAAGCAGAAAGATGTGTTATTGATATTAGGTGAAAAGTGATCTACATATCCACTCAGGATTAGATTTCAATTATTGACCAGTGCAGGAAAAGTTGAAATCACCTCACATCTCCAAGAAACATAATTCCTGTCCAAATGGGGTGGAAGTTTCCAGAATTGGTAATTGCTTTTTGTATCATTGCTGGGCAAGATGGGAAATCATTCAAACACTACTGAGAATGCAGACGCTCTGGTAATCTTCAGTGCTTCATTATCTAATTATTATGGTAAGTCTATGAACAATGTGACGTCTGTAAAGAGGTAAAGGCACCAGCAAAAATTGTTTCGTGATATGATCTCTCAAAATTTGGTATACGGTTAAATTGTTTTGTTTGCAGTAAATAGAAATATTCACAGTAGAGCAATCAACAAAAATTATACTTTAAAATGGAAAAATACTTGTTTCTTTGATTCCCTGACATTTGTACTCAGTACATGAAACAAACAGTACAAACAATAGTTATAATCTGAAGCATTAAAATACAGTGACATACTACCATTTTTTCAGTTCAATAACTAAATCATCACAACCCTGGAATCACCACGCTCGTCTTAACAAATGTGAGGATTGCCCATTGTTCCAACGGCCCATTATTTCGAAACCCCAAAAGTCCAAAAGATGTCCCAACTGACCGAAAGCCAATTTGTTTGACATGCTGTTGCCCATTGTTCCTGAAATAAACACTCTCCCTAGAGTTTTCTGCTCTTACTACAGTGAATTTGACGGGCAAAGTTTAGGTGACCTCATTGTTCTCATAACAATGGCCAGGTGACCTTTTGTCGTCATAGTCAGATGACTTTAATCATCATGGTTACGATAAACATGGTTAACATTGTGAAACAGTCCTTGTTAAATTTTGGCACCAAAAATAAATAGTTAGGTTTAGGAAAAGGTAATGGTTTGAGTACATCGGTTAAGTTACGTAGTTAAATATGTTATGTAAGTTGTATCAGGCTGGTATTTTCGGTGCAGTGGCCAATGGAATGCAATTGGACTACTAGGGTTTCAGAATAATGCAAACAATGGCATGGCAGCACAAATGTAATGCTACGTATCTTACACACTGTAGGTCTGTAGGTTTTCAGTAATGCTCTTGGAGTGCTTTTATAGATAGCAGCCCTTCAGGAAAACACAGACTTTGTTGGCTCAAGACAGCAGTCACTACTCTAAACTGTTTCACTGCAGGAAGTTCTACGGGTTAGTCATCTTCTTTAGATGTCTCCGGGACAGCAACCTGCTCCTCCTCAAAGCAGCGCCTGAAGAAGGTGAGCACTGAGTATAGCATGTAGTGCTGGCTCTTGGCCAGGGCAATGTTGTGTCCTTCATCTGGGAAAATCTAAGCAGCAAGAAATAGAAAACAGTGCCATTAATTAATGTTTCAAAAGTGTAGTCTTAACACAAGCAGCTATTTAAGAACTTTAGGTAAACAACAAATTAACAAAACTTAATTTAAATCAGTAACTATCAACAACTAGAAAACAGGATCACAAATCTGACCAGATATTCTCTGTGCTTTTCAATATGCACACATTTCAGATTGAACTGACAAAGTATTGTTGTTACCCAGCTCTTTTCAGGATGCATTCACCTAGTTACTCTTTAAACCATAAGACTAAGAAGGTTACTTGTTTGACCTATAAATGCAAAATCAAGGTATCCTTTTGTTACTTGTCACTTAGAAAAGAAATGCCATTAGTCACCTGGAGAGTGTAATTAACATTTGACGCAGACAGCAGTTTGACCAGCTCAGCAGAATGCTGGAAATGAACAGTGGCTGAAAAAGAACAGATAATTACAATTAAAAGTCAACACGGCATGACAGCACGACTCACAACGTACTCAGTCCATCGCACTCCCACAGTTAATGAAAATTAATTATAGTGCCAAAGCATGTGCCCAGAAAATGTGTGATATAGTTACACCAGACACCTTGACCAGGTAGAGTCAATAAGGTGATTGCCACGTTCAACCAACCAGTGAACAGAAAGACTATTACTTTAAACAGGTTTCTGCATGTAATATCCATTACTGCACATTCTTATGAATGATGAATAGCAAAAAATAGCAAATAAAAGACAATAACACATCTTGCAAAGGGCAAATATGTAATACAGTACCAAAATAATTAATACTTTTAAAAGGTGTGTGACAGACTAGCATGGAATGTCACAAACTAACTCCTCAGATCAGACTTAGACCAAGACTGGTGTTTCTAATGGTCAGCCAGTTAGATTAGATGTCCTTTACTGTCCCCAAAGGGAACAGGTCAGTACCATACTATCAGACAAACAATAATAAATACATTAAAAATCACAAAACAGAAGGCAATGAACCTTACTATAAATCCACTGTTTTGTCTGTACCTGTACAGGCCTGTACTCACCATCTGCTGTGCCGTGGATAATGAGAAAGTTCAGAGGACTCGGTGCTGTGATGTTACTGAGCAGACTGGAGATCTGCTGGAGACAGTCAACAGTTGTAACATCATCTAAATAACATCTTATTGAAAGTAAATCAACAATAAGTAATGTTAATTCCACAGACAATTCAGGAATTTGTGTTCTTCCATTTCTATGATTGAACAAATATCTTTTCAGGTTATTAAAAAGGACAATCACGTCTTTGAACAGGATCAGGTCCCACAGGAGAATATTTATACAGTAGCTGCTATAAAGTGTGGCCTAAGACACAATTACTGTAATAAAAGTTAGTAATGTTGTACATAAAAAAACAGGGATTTAAGCATATCACTAACATGTTATTTTAAGAATAACTCTAAATTACTGTGTTAAATTTTACAGCATGCCACCCATCTAGATCCGCCCCCTGCAATTCCCATGAGCCTCAATCACCATTCTTGAGGAGAAGTGAGTCAAAGGTGCAAACATTTGTAATCTTGTGATGTAGAAAATTCAAAATCTTTTGTTTTTCTGAGGGAGCTTTTCCCGGCAGGCAATTTGAGTTGTCATACCAGAAAAAGCACACGTGTAATTAATCACATCAACAATGCCTCAGCCACATTTAAATGTCACCGTAAGCCATGCCAGTGAGCCAGCGTGTGCACGACGTGGGCCCTGAAGCTGGCAGACCTAAATGGAATGCAGCCAATATTAATGTTATTAGTTACACCTGTGCTTGTCCTGCCATGACGTGGAAATCTGAAAAGGGCCCAAACACAGCACCAGGTTCCAAATTAACCTGAATCTGAAATTACCAGAGTTTTTTAATTCTGTACACCGAGAGGAAAATGCACCTGCTGTGTCACATCAATTACAATATGCTGTAATACAATAGAGTTAGATTGATGCAGTCATATGAATAGCTTTAACAAACTAATACTGTTTCTATTACTTATTTTATTTTTTATTACATTAGTTTTAGTTGATCATACAACAGTAAGCAAATACATGTAACCAATGTTATGTATTAAGATCACTGTGTTGCAAAATAAAACTACTAGGGGAATGATATATTTTGACTTTTAATGTTTTCCATTGTCTGGAAAGGCCATTCGAGGCATATTTGACATGCCGCAGTTTAACAGGTATGAGACAAGAGACGTGCATGGCTGAGAGGGCAACGATCACCACTCTCTCCAATTTTGGATTCCACTTCATCCAGCCTCTTTGCACATGCCGCCAATGACCCTCATATGAATGAAAATAACTGTTCTTGGAAACTTCCTCTCAAGAGTTACTGCTTTGTCGCAAATAAAATAGGCTCCTGTGTCTCATTTACATGTTGAATGCCACAATAAACAGTTTTACACGAGCTGAGTGTGCATTCCAGCTGTGGGCAAGCATTGTTTATAACACTGTGTCAGGCAAGAGCACTTTCAGTTGAAACAGAGAGAGAAATGAACACATATTCTAGCTCTGTACTCTACACAAACAGTTAATGCAGTTGTGAAAAGAACTGCCTGTTCAAAAGCGTACTTGGCATTTGTGAACTTCTTTAGCTGGGGAGCCAAAGTATTTCTCAGCGTAGGCCGACCCTTTATAAGGATGAAAAAAGGAAACAGTTAATGAGAAGATATTGTGAGTAGGGACAGCAGTGCTGTTTTAATTAACTCACTCACTATTCATTCATGATAACGCTACCAATGCCTTTCAATATAACTTCTTCACTTAACACTGGACATTCTGACAAATAGGAAATGCCACCAATGATTAGTGTTGCTCCACTCTGTCTAGTAGCCGTCTCGAGTTTGTTTGACATTCAAATATAAGTGGATCAGTTGTTTAGTGCTGTTTTGTTAAATCAAAGTGCATGACCATGACTTTTCTAAGATGTATAGCTTAAATCTGATAATGACAGCATTTATTGCCAGACATTGAATAATTGGATTTACTGGCTGTTTGAATGTCCTTGTCACATTTGGGATGAGCTACAACTTTAAGTCATTTATTGTAATTATGTATGATTCTTGTCCATCTTACCATAGAGTCTCCAGTTTGTTATAGGAGCTACAGCGATGCCACACCGGAACATAGAGCTGTGGGAGAGGAGCAGGAGAGAGGAAAGGAATCCTCCATACGCCTGGAAAAAAACATGGCTACTTTACAAGAATGTTACAGCATAGTATTTATTTATTTATTAGATACAGAGCCTGTGTTACCTTTCCATAAACCCCAACTCTATTGCCATCAACATAGGGTAGCCTGACCAGGTGCCTGAAAATAACAATTGTAAAATAAAAATAATGAAGTGACCCCTTCTCAATAAGACTACACACTCTGTAATAATTATAATATTTTACTGTGTAGTACACAGTAAAAGGTTATCCTAATTTTAGCTAATTCAAAGCTTTAGCCACATGAAGTGGATAAGGTACAAAGTTATAGTGGCTTCATGTCGGATCGGGAAACATCCTGGTAGTCGCATGTGGTTTAATAAACTTACATGTGACTGCCAGGACTGGATCATTTAAAAAAATACAAAACTAAAAACCCCCAGCTTACTCCAGAGCTGTGATCTGGTCCTGGAGATCAACAGTTCCCAGTCTCTGGTGAACCTCGTGCAGGATCCTCTGTCCCTGGAAGCCGCTGCCCCGGCCGTCCAGACGAGCCACGATGGCGCTGTCTGAGCTGACCAGCACAGAGTCCCAGCTGAGAGAGAACCGATCACTCACAGCCTGACCACCAGAGGCGCTGTCACTGTGAATCGACAGGGTGAGTTAAGTCCATTAACAAGGATCCATGTATTCCCCAAATACACCCAGAATAAATAAACATGTTGGTTTTTGTGAACACACAAACACAATTTAGATCAGTGGTTCCAAGCCTTTTTGGTTTGTGACCCCTTAAAATAAAACAATGTAGCCCCTCATCATTGGTTTCATATACAGTATCTACCTGCTGTAAGCCGGTTCAACCACTGATTCTTTTTCATTTTACAAGAAAAAACTAAAGATCAGAGGGAGAGTATCTTGCGTGGGGGTCCTGACCCCCAGGTTGGGAAACTCTGATATAAGGCACAGATTTGCACCTTAATTTCCATCCATTTGTTTCTCATAATTGCATTAAATCACTCTGCATTGTTTAACATTTGAAATTAAGCAATATAAAATTAATAAGAAGTGCTCCTTAAATGAGCAAATGTATTTGAAAATGAAATTACATACACAATCAGTAAAAGTGGGTGCTCCTTTGTTTCATCCAAATCTATTGGGACAATTAACTCCAGACGAAGTGCTGCAAAACAAGTCAGAACAGTCAGACAGAATTTCATGATTTTAATATTATGTCATTTTTAATAAATTTACTGCTGCACGTTTTTATGACTATATCAAAGTTCAACTTATTGCATGGTCAGGGTTGGTAGTTTGAACAGTTTTGCTTTTGCTTAAGGTTTAACATAATAATAATAACTATGCACAGTATATCATAGTAGAAAGTCAAAGACAATTGGACTTAATCTGTCTCCGTGATTCACCAGAGAGGCCTTAGGGCTAGGATGTTTTTTTTAAAACCAATTTTGGGTGATTCGCACAATGATGTGATGTTAGAGTAGTTGAAATGAAGTCATAGGATCGTTGTTAGAGGTGTTAACTGGTGTGAACCCTCAGGGCAAAGATAGACTGTCAGTGCATGAGAAGTGAGCATATCACTTATTAGACCTGAAGATGAAGACCATTAAATGTGTGTTAAAATATCTTTAAGGCTACACTTAGTCTAGTTGCCTTTGACTTCTACTTTCTATCAACAGGATGAATGAAAATCCTTTAGCACCCTAAATAAACCTGAAACAACCAAGGTGGTTCATGTAAAAAATAAGCCTGTGATTTCATTTGCATTCAAATTTTGATGACAGGGATCCCGTCTGACTGTGTTTCTAATCAAAAAGCCTCACAAATGTATCTCATTGTCTCTAATAGTCAACACAGGATAGAGAAAGGAAGCCATATGGTGAGCTTCCCCCTCTAATTAAAACAATATACCGCTATGTTTCTGATTCCGGGGCTGTTTCATAATCACCTCAAAAAGCTCTGCACCTGTTGTGTTTATCCTGAATTTGCATGTCTGACATTCAGATCCTATTGAGCCTGACTCAAATTACCATTACTGTCACCAACTATAAGTAGGCAAGTATACAGTTTGGCTTTCTCCAAAAATATTCCATCCACTGTCCACGTGCAAGTCCACAAGTGTTCATGTCCTTGTCTGTACTGAAGTATGATCACGGCTTAAGAGTCTCACACCGGTTGATGGCACCAAACTTTACGGCAATCCAGAAAATTAACATAGTATGTGTGTGTGTTATGCTGCTTGAGTGTCTCAGATCCTTTCACTGTGAGGAAATATCCTTTGATTTGTTCACTGATCGTACTACACAGCAAATGTGAGAACAGTGATACAGAGACGCTGAATGCTCCCTCTCAATTATGTGTTGAGGAAATATACATGCTGTGCATAATAGGGTAAGACTTGAACATTCAGTTTGCAAACTGTATCTTTATCCAACTAAACTCTCAGCTCACTGGCTTATCCTCACGAATGCCCATTCTCAGTTCACTTGGCGAGCTGAACTGAACATTCAGCCATGTTTCAGTTCAGTGAGTAGGACTACAGTCATGATTACTGAATGATTCAGTGAACGAAGCTCTTGAACAAATCTTTTTAATGAACAATTCTTAGCGATTCAGCACACGGAAAATAACGCCCCCTACACTGGCTGTCCTTTTAAATTCGCTGAGAGGGAGGAAGCAAGCAGAATTCAGGGTTGCAGTTACTCTTTAAAGAGCAAGTTAGTGAACAGCAAATCATTATAACCATATTAAAGTTGTGCACATAGTTAGAGACAATTTTCATACCAAAGTTGTTGATTTGTACAGTTCTTCTCTCCCACTTGGGTATTGTCCTGTTCATCAGTACATGCCTTAATACTATATTACTTTCCAGAGTCTTGTGTTCTGTTGACAGAGATGACAGAGTAAGAAGGAGAATTATGTCAATTAGAACAAAACTCATAATTGCAGCAAATACAACAATAACTAGATAAAATCCTAAAGAGCTAATTAATGTCAATGTCCTGCTTGACTACAGACTATTGAGAAATTGTATACAATTATAATTATAAACACATAATAGTCACATTTAAAGTTACTTGAGCCAACTAACAGAGGGACAGTGCACTTAGAAATTTCACCAAATCAATGTCATGTGATATGATAACAGAGGAATAATCAACATCTCTCAATCTGCGAGCTTGTAGGAATGGAGGAAGATAATTGTTAATCTACTGCATATTCCCCAGACGCTACCCTGAGTGCCTCTGATGTACATCATTTCAAGCACTAACATTGAACACCTTAACCTTAATTGCGTCCTCATATCCAGTATTTACAGCCATAAGTAAACCTCTGTCATGGAATTTTGGTCCTAATAACTCCTGATACGTTACTTAATCCCCCAAAACGTAGTTAATCAATTAATGCACTTTCCAGTCACTGAAAGCACACTCACACTCAAAAATCCAACTCCTACCCAGCAAAATGAATACATATACCTGATGCAACTGAGTGAAAGAGTCTAAATAGTAAATTGGCTCAAGTTTGTCAGTGCCAGAGTACTTACTGTTCATGTCACTTAGTTTGTGAAGAGTAGTTTGAGGTATTCCAGGACCTAGGGAAGAAAATAGTTTGGGTCAGGAAATGCAGCTTTATTAGACAAGTTAGTGACAAGGTTGATAAAAGAATAACCTTTAATATAAAGATCTAAAGAAACAGTCCTATATTTATTACAAAGCAGTTTGTTTTTAACCTTGATTTAAGTAATACTTTGATAGTAGCTGTCTGAGAGGTCTGAGAAAAGCTCATTACAGCAGTCAAAACAACGAGAGATAACGGTAGGGATTATTTTAAAAATATGTTTTTATGAATGAATTCTCTGATTTATGCACAGACAAGATTTTAATAGGCTGACAAGTGGCTGTAAATTCTCCTGCAATCGTCCAGTTCTGTTTGTCCTCTGAGTGAGTTACATACAGTAGACTAAACTCTTGTGTAAAAGTTAGATTGGGAAATCAATAAACATATGCAATTGTTGTGTTACTGCAGTTTAAATGTGATCATGTCATATAAGGCAACCTTGCTGCGAACCACTCAGTTATGATGTTGCTGTTGTGGTGTTACCTCTGCAGTTGAGAAGAACATGCTGATAGTCTGGGCTGAGGATTGTGTCGTAGTAGGTGCACTTTGATTTGAAGAGGGAGCAGGTGAGGCATTCTTTATGAAATGGATCCACAGTGGAGACTCTGTTTGAGGAAAACAAGAAAGGTGCGTGAGGACACAGGTTGATTTGAGATACAATCAGTCAGTTTTTTTGCCTGCAGGCAGAAGTCAAAAGAAAAGAAAAATATGCACAATTAAAATGGAGTAATTAACATGCTTTAACACTGTTGTTTAACTCATGAAGGGGGTTTCTGTGCACCTGTTTTTATGCTTATTTTTAATTTGCTGTATTGATAAAAACTAAATTGTGCAAATAAATGTGCAATAAAAAACAAAACGTCCACTGAAGCTCAACTGGAGGGACAAAAAACATCAGATCTGTGTGGAGCGATGAGGAGACTGTAACCTTCCTTACATTAATACATGAAACAAACATAAATGCCACATTTCCATTGTGAGTTCTACATGGGCTTTCACTGTTGGAGATCTGGCTGATAATGATTTCATTTAGTCAATTATGTCTCTTCTTCTGCAATGGTTTAATGCCACCAACTGTTTATCCTAATATTCACATAACAGTAGTGGATGGATTGTATGGATGTAGCCAGTTGTAATGGCCAAAAATACATAAGTAAAACCATTCTGTTCTTTAATACTTTAATTCTTTAAGAAGATTTCACTGAAAAATAAAATCAAATTTTTTAGAGTTTGCTGCTGAGGTCCAAAAACTGAACTTGCCTGGGGGTTCTTGGGGGCATGCAACAAAGCAGTTATTTTATGACAATTATTTCAAGACTTTTATTATATACCCCTTGGAAAAAATACAGGTGACCTCAATGCTGGGTACAGCCATGCTCGGCAGAGGTGGCGGTACTCAATAAGAAGCAAGGGTAATCATGCGGCTCGGAAGTGCCAGGACTCAGCACTGGTGAGTACTGGCCCGTTTCAGGCACTGATGAGAGTGGTATCGATCTAACTAACTCTTGGCGTATAATAAGCGTATTTCCCAAAATGTCCTGGTACTTAGGGAATGATGGTCCTTTTTCTACTTTTATATCGAAGTGAAATACCTGTACAATTGCCGTTGTGTTGATCCTTCCTCTGTACTTAGGAAATAACTGAAAAACAAATAAAATGAACCTGTTATTCAAGAGTTCATGTTGTGTTGCATTGTATCATATATCACATCGTATGGTGTTAATGTGGTGTCAATAACTCATGCTCACACTGAGTTTGTGCTCTCATCATAGGCCAGAATTTGAAAGACTTCCCAGCTTCCTGAGGTCAGGTGGCGGACGTCGACCTCTTGACCCTCAGACTGAGAAACGCGAGAAAGAATACAACACAACAGAGCAGAGAAAGCATGTTAATGTGACCTCACATGCCCTACATGGTCCTAGAGGGGTACAATAGTTTTGAGTTTTTTACCTAGCCCTGACTTTCAATCTAAAACTTTTGTTCTAGTTATTATCTCTACAGGAACTGAATTAATCTGGCACAGAACCCAGTGCCTCCAGTGCATCTCCTGTACAACACTCTCCTTAATTTATTCAAGTAAATGTATTCCTAATTCTCTGGTGTTCCAGGAAATAGAGTTAGGATATAATTTAAAACGATGAGACTTCAAAATGGAATCATATGAGCAGTATGAATAATTGGAAAGCCCTTACTGTAGGCGGGACAGATAAGGGAACAAAAGGAGAAAAGTATACACAGACACTTAATTTAAACAGTGAAAGCACCTAACTAAATGTATTCAGTTTATTAAAAGTTTGTTATAATTTTACAAGGTTGGAGATCTTGGCGATATGGTTGAATCCCCCACGGCCACCGTGTTTTAATGGCATAGTGATGAAGAATATTGTGCAATCCTTGGAGAACACTGGCTCCTCATTCTGGGGGAAAACAGAAAAGAGAACGGCAAACATTTTTTCACACTGTTGTTAATAGTTGTTACCATGTAGAACACAACAGGTTATGTGAATTGACTGTATTGGCAGGTTAAATGAAAAAATAGATTAATGGCCTTTCTCATGGAAAATATATCTTGGCTAATAATTTACGGTTAAGTTAAAAAAAGACAGCAGCTTGTCATTGGTCTGATAGAATATTAAGTACCAAATGTTTTTAACAAACTTTGCCAAGGGGCTTTTATTGATTATGCGTCAATGGCAGCAAAAGGCCAAACAGTCCTATATTAGAGACAAGCCTTTAATTCCAATATCTCTTGTTTTACAGGTAAAATATATCATATTTTAACAAGAAGCTGCAATGTTTCCTGATTTGGTCAACTTTTAAATTGCTGTACTTTTTATGCAAACTCAAAACTTTATCCATGTTTACTTTTAATTCAGTAACTCAGTCGGTACACCAGTCATATCATACTCACCACTGTACTGTTCTGAGTTTCTCCCCAGAAAAAATTAAACAAAACTTTTATATTTCCTAATTATTTCCAATCACTTTTTCAATTGCTGTTGAGATACCATTAGTGAAATGCTTGAGGTTTCTCATTAAAACAGCTCTAAGTGTATAATTTGTCCCTTTCCAGTGTGAATTTCAATCAAAACATCTGCACCTGAGTGCTGAGTTTCACTGGCAGTAGCAAAAGCGATTCAAGAAATGGCAAAAAACGTCTAAGCAGTTAGTGAATAAGTTTTTCAGTTTTTCTTTAAAAAAGTAACTCAGAGCTTGACATGGCTATGTTGGTGTACTGACTGAATTAGGGCTGTGGAAATATACCCGACGCTGAATTTACCATGTGAACCACTGGAGTACACACAGTAGCGTTCCCCCTTTTATCCTTTCCCTTTATTAGTAATTAGCCTACCTGTGTTCATGTGGCCATATTATATACTATATTGTATTACCCTCACCAGCTTTAATATGAAAATCAATAGTGTTTCTTTTTAATTTATTCCTTATTAATGTGATTATCAAAGATAATGAAGCTCTCTCGCACTCACCTGGCGATCAAGCCACTTCTCCGATGTCATCATGTGTTTCTAAATTGAAAAGATCAAGTCAGTTAAACAATAAAAAAGCACTAGAGTAAATTCATTGTAGAATGATTAACAACAACCTTCTTACCTTTGTGCAGTCACTTGTTAGGACGTCACACAGTGAAAGAATTGACAAGTTTTGAGCTCGATTAACCCAACGCACACTCAGCCTCTCCTGTGTCACCCACTTCACCATGGTGACGTAGTACTCACTGGGGAAAACAAATACGGGAAGCAGTAAGCAAATAACCAACATAAACAGCCTGGGTCAGAAAGATGCTAATATCGCTTAAAATGTGCTTGAATAATACCTCTTTTCAAAACTGTCGGGAGGTCTCAGTTCTGTAGTGAGCGAGCTGCCGTCTACGGTGACGACATAGAGTCTGACGGTGGGATTTATCTGACCCATCTAGAGTAAAAACAGAATGTACAATTTCATTCACAGGCCTAATCAAATTAGATGCAATTCAGGAAGCACTGCACGCACGCTGCTCTAGTTTTTCTATTTTTATGTGCCGTTGTACTGAACAATTCCAGTAAGACTTAGTAGCTGAGAACATAATGAGAGGATGAAACAAACAGAGAACAACACTGTGTTGTACACTGTGCAGGCCCTGGGGCAAGTCAGTCGTTTTTCTTTAAACCTCCCTGAAAAGCAGAACTCATTAGTCTACATGACAAGGGACATCTCACAAATACAACATAACCTATCACGAAGATGACAGTATCTATTCCACACTTATGCCCGCTTATTTTTATGGCTTCATTTCTATGTCTTCTCCAATTCTTCACATTCGGCTCTTCTGGAGGTATAATAGCTTCTTGAAATAACTCTGTTCTGTTCACATTATGCCATTTGTGGCATATAAAATGAAAAGTAACACAACTGAAACTTACTAATACTAATGCTAAAGAGGGAATAAGTCATTCATTATTTTTTCCTCCTTTCTAATACAGTGACACTAATATTATCATGGTTGACATGTAACCATTACATAGATGAGCTTTAACATTGTGTTTGCAGACCATGGATCATAATTCATGTTCCATAATCTAGTAACAAAATGTTAAAATTATTTGCATCATTTTAGTGCTAATTAGCAGATCTAAGCTTGCTAGATCCTAAGATAGTGAACATGGTAAACATTACCTTTGAAACTATTATTCTTATACTATATAATATCTATATTGGTATTAGCCTCAAAAATCCAGTAGAGGCCAAGCTGTAATACGGCACAGTTTGTCACGCTGACAGTCATTAGGTATTTCCTTTAACGCATAGAGAGCAGACACATGATACCCATGAAGAATACCCTCTAGGGTAGTACTGTTACTGCGTATTGACTCATGAGAGGATAACCACACAAATTTATCCTCCAGTGGCTGAAGCAGATGTATGACTGTCAGAATGGTGTACAGCATCAGTGTTAGAGGAAGGAGGTGGTAATTAAATCTCTGCTTCATTTAGTCCCACGCTATTATAACACTGACCCCAAGAGGATATAAGCAACAGAATTACTGTGTGTGTGTGTATACACTTTTTACACTAAGCTAAGATCAAGTGCAGTGCTTCATTAATTAGATGCTGTCCTATGGATGCCCTCCCCCCAATCTGAGCTGACAAATCAGGCTGCCCTCTACCTTATGACCCCCATTCCACCACTTCTCCACAGCTCATCTCCCATCTTAGAGGCATTTGATACGCTAAACATCCGCATCAAAGGACGGGAGGTGTGTTAACTTGCCTTACTAAAGCATATCACATTCCTATCCCTCCCAGTGCCACAGATCCCTACAGCCATCCCTCTTCAAAGAAGCAAGTCACTGTAACATGAATTAAACAAGAAAGGGATTCACTAACCTTCATGGATACGCTAAAGCAGAAAGCCTGCAGTTGTATTATTCATAGAGCTGGTTTGATACAACGAAGCTGCAATGTAGTAGAGTCAGGTTGTAAGGGTTGTTGTACAGTATGAGGTAAGCTAAGGGATGTCAGGAGCAGTCAGACTTCAACTGGATCTAATATTTCTAGTGCTGCTCTGATCAGAGAAGACTGGAGCTGACCAGAAGGTTTTAGATGCTGATGTTGGATTCAGTTTTGGTTGTAAACAATATTTGCAGCTAAGAAGTGCAATATCAGATTTAGTGTGTTATTTTTGACTTAATGTTTGTACCTGCCATCTGTTTTCTTAAAGGGAATTTTAAAAGAACATCAGCATGCCAATATCCTACTCTAATTCAGAGTTTATTTAAAATTCTGGGAATAAAGGCACGTCAACTGGACTTGTAGTACTCTTAGTTCCACCTTTGGATAAGGGTACTCCTTCCCCCTGGGGTACAGCGAGCCTGTGAAGCGGGGCAGGAGCATGTTAGGAACCAGGGAGTCGTTGATGGTGAGGTAGGCCAGTCTGGAGCCGTCAGGTGACCACCAGTGGGCCGTCTGTGTGTGCAGCACCTCCTCTGGAAAACCGAGAGAAAACAAGATCAGCCAGCCTGAGCCGGGAAAGGCACAGGACCTCTGCTTCTTCTATTCTTCTATTTAAATCCATTTCCTGTTCATGCTCCTCTTTTTAAATCCCAGTTTATTCAATTTATGGTGATTTTTTTTGTGGTGAATATAAATTATTTGTGAAAATGTGACGATTCATTGAAAATGAAATGCAGTCAATATGTCTTATTCCTGTCAACATCTTCTCACTCCCACCTTGTCAAATACTGCTGCTTCATCATAATCAGATCATAAATTAAGTCACATACCTAACCTGGGTCAGGAACAGTGGCCTCCTGGGTTAAAGTTCTGTTTGTTTGAGTCATCCATCCACCCAACCACCACTATATGTTGACTTTCTCGCACTGGAGGGATACCTGCAGCGTCATATTTTAAAGCGGAGGGCCACTGACCAAGCAGCAGTATTTGACGATTTGGGACAGAGACCGTGTTGTCAGAGACGTATTTAATTCTTTTATGCCACAGTCCACACAAAGTCTCGAATAACTGTACATTTAGAAAATCCTTACACACACGAGAAAAGACTGCTTTCTTCAGAGAGAAGAATGCCAGATTCTGTAGGTAGCATTTCAATCTGTCCTTCAACTATCTGTCCTCTATTGTGCCAGGTTTAAAGACACAGTAGCTTCTCTCTTACCCTCATACAGCCAGTCTGTGATGCCGTTGAAGATGATCCCCTCCTGACCAGAAGAGGTGAGCCTCCACGAGCTGCTGTGAACATCCGTTTGGTAGTAAATGTTGTTTTCAAATATGTAGATCTGTGAGATAGAGAGAAAATATTAGTTTGGATTTTGAAACATTAATGCCACAAACTAAGATAAGTATTGTAATATAGTCATCCACTACAACTCAGGAGGGCAATACTGATCTTTTTACTTTTATTTGTCTGAAAACTTTAGTTACTTCTTTAAAACTTAAGACATGTGCAAACATATGAAGAACTTTTACAGTATGATATATTGCAAAATATTCAACTACCAAACAGTAACAGTACAAAATTTGAATTTAAATTATTTGTCGATTAATCAGTTGATTAGTTAATTATTTAAAAAATGCGATCAGCTAATTTTTTCATGCATAAATGCCTGAAACTTTTCATGGTTTCCGCTTCTCAAATGTGACAATTTGCTGAATTTTCTTCCAGTAAAATAAATTATTTTGAGGTTTGGGGTGTTGGTCGCACAAAAGACTTTGATTGTGTCACTAATTGTGACACAATTTCTCACTATTTTGAACATTGTTACAAACCAAACAATCAATCAGTGAATTAATAGAGAAAATAATTAGCAGATTACTCATTATAAAATAATCATTAGCTGCAGTCCGAAATCAGCTCCACCTCAACCAACTACAACAGTAAAATCCTTTTATTATTATTATTTATTGACATTATACTTACATACCTTCTACTTAACATAGTATTTTCTACAGTGTGGTATCAGTACACCTACTAAAGTAAGTACAAATTACCAAACACACCTACACATTTATGTACTTGACTGTAAGGAAAAATGTGCAGAGGGACCATGCTGAAGAGATAGAAAGATAATATAATCCTTTTTTTTTATAATGATCTATACTGGATTTGCTTCATTTAGTCTAGAATGCATTTAAATATGTTATACAGGGTCGCTGAGGCTGACGCTGAGCGAGTAGTCCTCTGAATGCAGGGCTGTAGGTCTGACCCCCACCTCCTCCTTTACACATGTCAGTGTCCTTGGGCAACTGAACCACACATTTCCCTCAGTGTTCAGGCCAGCACCTTGTGTGTGTGTGTGTGTGTGTGTGTGTGTGTGTGTGTGTGTGTGTGTGTGTGTGTGTGAGCGTGTGTGAACGAGAGGAAAATGGTGAAGCGCTTCGGATAAAAGCGCTGTATAAATTCACCCATTTATATAGACGTGTTGATTTTTTGCATTCCCGCCACCTTTCATGCATTAGTCTTGAAGTTGCAGCATGCAAGTACTGTGGCGATAGAACATCTGCTGAACAGATTGAGAACCTTCAGTACCTGAACTGATCTCACACAGAACACGCTCATTAATAAAAAAAATATTTTGCTATTGTTCTCATCTCTTGTGGCAACACAGACAAATATGCAGGAAGAGCTTATGAGTAATGAAAACGACTGTCATTAGCGGTGTGACACACTGCTGCAGGGCTTCCTGGTGAACGGTTTCCACTGAGGGCAGGTACGAATACTGAGGAAACGAGATAAATATGCTATCACATGGTTAATTACTTTCCTTGTCTGCACTGGAGAAAATAATGGACTGATTATTCTGTGCACAATACCCTGCACGATGGAGGCATTACTCACACAGAGAGCTTTGGCCGCCCAACAAGATGTCTTCCAGCAACAGCTTGATTAGTGTAACTGTTGCTGGCTTCTCTTCAAAATAATTGTTTAGTTTAAAAGGGGTTTGTCTTTCCTCTCAAGTCAAAAACAGCCTTTGATCAGCCTTTACCTCAGAGAATAGAATAGGTTCTATGAATACAATGAATTATACATAAAGCAATGTTACATAAGACATTAAATTAAACATGGGTTTTCCCCTCTCTGCATGCAGCAAGGTGTCTTCAGTTTAAATAAGATAAAATGAATACAAATGCAGTTGGTTAGAGCTGCAACTACAACTCCCTTTGACTAATCTGCTGATTATTTTCTCAATTAATTGTTTGATTTATAAAATAGCAAATAATAATGTAAAATAAAGATTAAAATGTCCGAGAACCAAAGTTAGGACATATTTGAATTGCTTGTTGGTCTAACCTGTTCAGTGCAAGATTCAGTTACAGTGATATAAAAAGAGAAATTAGCTATATTTGCTTACTTGTATTTCAGATTTGATTTTGTAGGTATAAGCCGCTTCACATACACGTGTATTTTGGATTTGAACTTGTTTACTCCAACTGCTGCACAACAATTTCCCTCATTCAATCTTATCTTATTTTTGTTTGAGAAATTAAATAAAAATTTTAGGGAGGTTTTAATACAGTTCTCTGTCAGTATTATGTTTTTTTGGCCATTGATCTATTACTGCTGATCTAAAACTGCAAACTTTTCTCAAACTTTTCTTTTCTGCACCCCTTAAAATTAAGGAGGCCTCGCGAGCTACCGTGAAGCTTTGGCGAACCCCATGTTGGGAATCATTGAACTGAGTAATGACTCAACTAATCAGTTTAGTTCTCCAGTTGTGCCTTGAAATTTATGATTTATGACCAGCTACGTGTTTACATTTTGTATTAGTAGAACATTTTTACCTGTGCAATTTGTGCATTTTAACACGTTGACTATAGACTATGCATGCTTATTGACAGGACAGCATGACTTCTCACATGAATAAGAAATGATGCATACTGTACATATATTATGTTTTTGGATGTATTATGTTTTGTGTTGTGGAAAAACAAAAGAATTATGGGTCATAATGAATCATGCTTACATCTGTTGAGGACGACACATATTGCAATTTGGATCTCCTTGGTGGAATCGCCCACTATAGCACATAGCACACTGAATATAATTGAACTCAGTGTTGTTGTTGACTTGTTGGGTAATTAAGGTAAACATAATCCAACATTAAATAAACTCTAGGAAAAAATTACCCACTAATGTGTTCTTAAGAGAATAATTGAAGCTAAATCCCAGCGTGTTATTTGGCCCTGTAAACTACTCACCAGCTGCTGACCACGAACGCCCCACGAGGCAAACTGGAGGACTGAATCTGACACCTCTGGAGGATTCAGCTCCCGAACCTCTCTGGTGCGAGGACAAATAAAAACGTGTTACACATAAATCATTACACACAGGACCAGGAAGCACTTACATTTGTTTTTAGATCTCAGAACAGACACAATCACTGCACATTCACAACCAGTTCAAATCATTTTGAGGTGAATAATTTTATCTGAGGGTTTATTTAATTCTCTCATAAAAATGAATTGGACAATTTGTCCTTGATTTAGGTTTAACAAAGAGAAGATCTATGGCCATAAAATGTAAAATAAGTCATTTAATTATGGTCTATGTTGATTAGGTTTAATTACACACCTTGTATACAGGTTGTAGATCAGGTACGATGCTAAGAAAGAGTGCTGGTAGACCTAAAAAACAATCAAAAGAAAAACAATTTCATGTTGTGATAGGCAATTATGATAGTTAGGACCTCAACAGACAAGAAACTAGGAAAATAATTCAGATAATCCTGATTAATACAGTCGATTAATCAAAGATTAATCATCAGAACTGATATTATCAACACAATGTTAGTCACAATAACAACGCAAAGCATTCTCAGAACATTTTGTGATCAGTCTTGTGATGTTATTGGTGTAGAGTTTTTTCAACCAGCTTTATGTACCTCTACTTTTATTTATTTCCAGATTTTCCCATTTTGTTTCTGTTACTAACTTACTGAATGCATAGGGATAAAACTGATGTTGTGAAAGAGTGAAGAAGCATAACAAGTTTGAATTTCTGTAAGCACATACCACATGTTTTTTATGTATTTTATGAAGTTTTTTTTTCTTCATAAAATACATCCATTACAAGACAATACAGTACAAACATACAATGAATTATAAGGAGGCCAAGTAGTGCCTGAAGCAAAGTGGATAAATTAATAATTTACCACTACTTATTTGCAAATTATGTGCATTTCAGTATGACATGTTAATATAAATTTCATTCTGCAGTGCCACATGTTTGCACAACTCACCAGTTTTGACCTTCCACTAATTTTACCTGCATGTGCAATGGAATGACCAGAGAATATCCACTCACAAATCCTTTTATTTTAAAGATTTATTGAGATAATGGTTCAACACCTGAGCATCTCCACATGCTAATCAGTTGGGTCATTAGCATAACAATGTAACAGTGAGCTCACCCCAGAGTGATATGATAAATACTGTGGAGCCGCTCTGTTCCCCTCAGCTAAAGATCAATTGTGCACAAAATGGAGTCTGCTAGGCGGATCTACTCGCCACCCAGCCTTCACTCCTAATTTGGACTTCTCTTTTCACTGTATCTCCAGAAAGGAAAAGTGGAATTGTATTGTAACTTGACTGCTCTTCTTCTCCTTCAAAAAAGACATCAGCATCATTCAGCAGACACCCCTCATTCTGTAGCTGACAGCTCTGTGATGACTCCCTGAAAAGGCTGTCAGTGATGGGTGACACATGAGAGGGGCGGATGTTTGGAGACGTGGAGGGAGTAACAGACTGTTTCAGACAGTGGTGGTGTGTTTGATTGTGGTGTGTGGTGGTGTTCTCGGCAGACTGAGGTTACATGGCACTTGTAAATAATTCCTATCATTTGTTTTATACAAATGTGAATATCATATAGGTGGTGTTTGCAGCCGAGGAACGACTGCAGCATAAAAGCATTTAAATTTAAATACAACAACCTTAATTGCACTTAATTGGTGCTTTTCTCACATCTGAGAGTAGTACTCTCTGGGCGACTGTGGCTCAGAGGCAGTGCGGGTCGTTCCTTAATCGGAAGGTTTTGGGCTCGATCCCCAGCTCCTGGTGCCACATGTCGAAGTATCCTTGAGCAAGATACTGAACCCCAAATTGCTCCCGAGGCCGTCCATCACTGAGTGAATGTGTGTGAAAGGGTGAATGTCTCATGTAGTGTAAAAGCGCTTTGAGTGGTCAGAAGACTAGAAAGGCGCTATACAAGTACAGGTCCATTTACCATTACTCATTTACTGTTAGAACAAATGCTGAGAATCTGCATTACAAACACAAGCTTGGAGGCGTTATAAGGTTGAGAGGGTGGACATGAACAAAACATTAAAATATATGACTGGGAAAAGAACAAGGTGCATGAATATACGCTCTAAATGACAGTTTGTACGGACCACGGAGGGCCGCAGTGACATTTGGAAGGTCAGTAAATGCAGTTAAAGCTGTAACTTATTTGAATTTTACAATTTGTAGTAAAAACAATCTATCTGAATTAAATCGGTTAGGTAGCTCGCAGAGTCTCAGAGAAGAGCCGACGATCACACCACATCTCAATGACACGTAGTGCTGACCTGCAAGCTGTTTGGTTGATCTAACATCCTGTTGGGATGTTTTCTCTATTTTCCTTGTACTGCCACCAGTGATCCTCTAGCACAGCATTAACACTGTTGCCCATCTTGTCGTTGTGCCGTCCGATTATGCTACTAAATCAAATTTTTTTCACATTTGTTTTACAGATGTAGTGGATTTATTTACACAGTCGCTGTGGTGGAACTGATTGTCACAATGACACCCACATATACGTTCACTCACATGTAGCCCAGAAAAGCATAATTCCAGCCTGAGGGATGCAGTATGTTGGAAATGAACTAGTTTGTATAATGAGTTTATACCTGTTCCTCTGACTTTATCACACTCCCACCTCAGTCCCTCTCCAAGAGATCTGTGTCATTTGCTTGTCTTTGTATTCTTGGTGCAATTAATTATACATATGGGCATGAATCAGTTAGACAGTCTCTCCTCAAAGGCATTTATGGTGCTGCACTCCTCAAATCCTGTCTTCTTTCTTATTAAACATGCAACCTACTGCGTGAAGGGGCTGTGAATGTCAGATTGTCAGCTTTGGAACGTTACAGAAACACAACTACCCCAAAAACATGGAGAGGTGTTTCGGGGACATTGTTTGATGATCTGACTAGCTTATCCTTTAAAGCATGCGGATACCTTAAGCACAGGTCTTATCAAAATTAATGATGGATGACTGCACTCAACTTTAGATTTTCCATGTCCAGGACTATGCTATTATGTTACTGGCTCACCAAAATAACTTATTGGAGCTTAATAACTTAATATTAATGGTTCCACCTGTGTTATTGTGGTTATACATGTTAAAATGTCTGCTGTGAAATCAGGCCTATTGCAAGTTCTGTCCACACCAAACCATCTGAAAAGTATCTGGGGAAACATTTTGGATTCAATACCATGGAAAAATTTGGGATAAAGCTGTTTGCTGCCTTTAAATGTTTGATATGTCAGAACTTATTTGGAAAGTGTTTTCATCTCTCATTTAGTGCATTAACTCTTTTTTGAAAAAGAGGCAAAAACCACCTCAAGCTTGTGGAAAACTGTTTTCGCCAAATGGAGAAAGTTATTTTGAATTTTTTCGTTTCCATCAGCCTTTTCTAATACTCTGCTTAAAAATGTGCATAAAAATACATTGATTGAAACAGCTATTGAAGCAGCAGAGGCCCCATGAATAAAGGCCTAATTCTAATCTTCAATGGAGTTCAGAATTAGGTAACATGGGTTGCATTTGAATTCCCTTTGAACAAACTATATCGATTCTGGTTGGTTTGACAAGAAGATAATAAGCACACAATGTGATATTAGGTACCTAAAAATGATTTAACAAATTCTCCAGTGATAACAATAAACTAAAAGCACAACTTCTAAACCTTTAAAATAGGTTTCATGCTTATTGCAATATTTGTCAACACTAGATTTTATTTAATGCATTTATCACAGAGTGCTTTACAGACTAATAAATGACAGAAATACTGGGACATTTTTAATTGATGATTTTAAAGTAAGAAGTCTGGAAATGAATTTGGCTCATTAAATCAGTTTTTCTTTAATCTCGGAGATCAACTCTCCTGAATGCTTTTGCAGCTGATGATCAGGTTAATTAGAGCTCTTTCTTTTTTCACACTACAACTTCATTAACATGCATTTCCAAATGAATAAAAAAATTGACACTGTGTGACGGCTGCAATAATCAACACCTCTATAATTTGGTATCAGTGCAAGTTCTGAAAAATGCACTTTCTAATCTGCACAGAAGGCTGCTGACCATAAAAAAAAAAAAACCTTGAATAAGATCTATAGAAACCTTTGACGCAGCAGTATAGTCCAGCCAAGAGGTATCATGATTATGATAAATTCATAAGACAACTGGAGACAGTGGTGCAGCAGCAGGCCATTACTCTCCATAGATTTAGGCTGTCACTTTGATGATGAACACATCTGCTCTGTCCATCTCAGGAGGAGATAGCACCTCTAAAACTCTGCTTTCTCAATCCCATCAAGCACATAGAGCTCATTATCAAGCTTGCTTAGTACACCCACACTGAGATCTTCCTGCGGCCATCGAATAGTAGAATGGAACAGCAAAGAAGCATGTAGTGTGATTTGCAACAAGCAGTTTTACTGATGTTGGACACAGGGACAGTAACGGGTGTTCAGTGTGATAAATAAAAAGTGCTGCATTTCCTGTTGTAACGACTTGAATAAAACATAAAAGTCTTGTTTCTTCAGCACAACAAAGTCACAGCTGCCAGTCTCTAACAGAATCCAAAGGGAACTGTGAAAGAAAGGGGTCGTGGAGTGCAGGTACACTATGGGATCAATACTGAACTCTATTTTAATCCCAGATGACAGCACTTATATAGCGCCTTTCTACCTGCTGGGTCGGGCAATTTACTTTTTACACAACCCTGTCTCCTACAAGTTACCATTGTATGTTACTAAATTGTTCTCTAAATGACGTGGTGCTGACAATGTAATACTTGTCTGGATTGAAACACTACATTTATATAAAATGTAGTGGAGTTATGAGGAGATGGTTGAGGTGGATGGTTGGGCAACCACAGTCCAGGGTTTGCATCCAGACTCATGCAAGGATGAAAGTTTGTGATTTTGGTTAAGATAACAAAAGCACTTTGTTTAAGGTTAGGGAAAGATCATTATCATTGGTAAAATGTTAATAAAAATCTTAAGTCACTGCTTACTTTTGAATAATGTTGTAGTCACTACAACTTAGTAGTGTATTGAATGGTTGCCTTTTTTGCAGAAAACAAATGAAATACAGTGAACTTTTTGCAACTTGCCAGGTACTCTAATTAACAACATTTCCTCATTATTTTAATAGAAAATGTAATTTGGTTGGCATTGTTTCCCTCAAAATGTGTTTGCTTTTGCAAATTAGTTGTATACAAACATAATTTTTAAGTGACAGGTCAGTTCTAAAATGTGAACATCTTACAGCCACTGACAGATAAATGTTCAAATTCACCAGCAAACAGTAAACCATTATTTTCTGAAATCTACCAGCCACTTTCATATTTTACCAGCCG